GCGATTTCTTCCTCTGTTATATTATTATGATGCGGAAAATCCTTTATTTCTCAATCCCATTTATATTTATATTCTTATGTTTAAAATTTATATTGCCGGTGTTCCTCAAGGTAGTATCCTAGGTCCTATCCTTTACACAGTTTATACAGCTGACATCCCAACCCAATCCTACACTGTCATCACCACCTATGCCGATGAAGCGTGCATCCTATCAGTTAATAACGATCCATCTATTGCATCCCAAACTCTTCAATCACACATCACAAGTCTTGAAAAATGGTGTCAAAACTAGAGGATTAAAATAAATTCCAATAAATCTCATCAATTAACCTTTACTCTTCATCGTAAACCTATGACTTCCTGTCCTACAATATCCTTCAACAATAGACCTCTTATCCCTGTCGAACAAATCCGATACCTAGGACTCCACCTGGACAAACGACTCACTTGGAACCCCTATACCAGACTGAAACGACTAGAAACCGCCCGACGTTTTCGACTACTGCAGCACTTACTAGACAAACGCTCTAAGCTTTCAATCAATTACAATCGACTCATATATATGACAATAATAAGACCTATTTGGACTTACGGAATTGAGCTTTGGGGCTCCACTAAACCATCGAATTCCTCTCGTATCCAATTCTCACAATCCAAAATCCTTCGTAAAATCCTCAACACTCATTACTTTGTCACAAATAAAATCATCCATAAAGACCTTAATGTTCCATATATTTCCGATTTGGCCTAATCCATATAACTATCCTTCCATAACAAACTGCAGAACCATCCGAACCCTCTCGTTTCAAACCTTGCTTCCTCCTCGATCCCTGATAACACTTCGAGGTGTCTGAAAAGAATATGGCCTCGGCACCTTCTAATATAGAACTTTGATTTGAGTTCTACCGATGAGTAGTTTCTCTTCATACTGTACATGTCATGTTACCAATGTCACATTTACTTGTTGTATTTTTCATGTAATACAGTTGTAAATTTCATTAAAAGAAAAAAAAGAAGAAAATAATTTATATTTAGAATCGCAAACCTGCTTCATTCTGTCCTAAATTATCCTTTGACAATATCCCACTTATCCCTGTCGACCAGATCCGTTACCTAGAACTACATCTTGACAAACGTCTTACTTGTAATCCTATCAAAGATTGAAACGACTTATTAGAAATTGATTCCGATTACTACAACACTTACTTGACAAATGCTCTAAATTTCCAATATTCTACAAAACAAAACTCACTTCCATTATAAAGGACCTATGGGATTGAACACAATGGCTCCACACAATCATCTAATCAGTGCCGGCCTTAGACATTGGGTGCCCTCGGACAAAGGTCTCATCTTGTCCCCCCTAAAAAAATTAAATTTATTTCTTAAGCTATTTTAAATTATTTAATATTTGAATTTTATTCCATTCAATATTTCTCTAATATAGCTGCTATATTAATAGGCTAAAATCAATTATTTTGATAAGTTTTGTATTTTTTATTACTTTCTAACAATTAGTAAGCGCCCCCGGTTGTCTTGCCCTAATGCCCCACTGCATCTAATTCTTACAATCCAAATCCTACGTATAATCCATAATGCTCCTTATTATGTCATAATTAAAATTATCCATAAAGACTTCGATATTCCGTTTATTGCCGATTTAGTCCGAAATAAATGTTCTTCTTTTTTATCCCTATCTCCTTAAGGTCCGCTTTGGTCAAATTTTGCCACACCACACAGGCAGATCTACGGGGGGGGCTTTCTAGCTGAAGCCCCTCCCCCTAAAATGGTAAAATATTACCCTGTCTTATTAAAAAAATATCTCTAAAAGAATTATTTTTCGTGTAATTACATTAACAGGACTTAAAAAATCACTTAAACGCCATCTAGTATAGGTAGTTAGTTTCTTTCTTTTTGTTCCAACGTAATTATTGTTATAAATTAAAAAAAAAAAAATCTTTCGGGCTGAAGCCCCTTCCCCAAAAACGAAATTCTGAATCCGCTAGTGCCACACCACGTTAGACCGCATGTAAAACACGCAACATAGTTATTCTGCTACAATAACTACAAGCGACATTACTCTACTATCTTAGGTTTTTAAACATATATTCAAAAATGGGCATCACTAACGGGTTAGGTGCCAGACCAAAAAAATTGAGTTAGATGAGCTTAGGCAACCTAATATCATTTCCATTAGCCTAAAAATTGGTCTTTTTTTAACAATAATTAATATTTATGTAGTATTTATGCCTTATAAGGCTCTTGGAAATGTCATTTATCTTCATTAAAATCGTCTATAAAGAAAATACAATGCATTAATTATATAAAGACAACTCTAAATAAATAAAATTCTAATGTTTACCAAACAGAGATAAAGCGATTCAGGTATTTTGTGAATGGCATTGCAATCTATAAGACAAATCTATGTTCGAAATTTATTTTTATGGGTTTTACAAATAACAACAAGAATAATAAATTAACTGTCTTATTCTACATCAAGTGGTAATTTTAATTTATAAATAAACTTAAAATCACCCTATTCCTCTTGTTCATAATCGTTTATCCAAAACAATATCTGACAACCCTCTGAAGTTTCTAAAAAGAAGATGGACAAGTGACCGTTCTTCTTAGTTGCTATCATATATTATATTCTTGCAGATTTACTTGTGATATTTTATTTGTACAGTTGTAAATTTTAATAAATGAATAAAAAATATATATTTAAAAACTTCAATGCTGGTTCAACTTTTGGCTCATTGTATTAATTTTTTTTTAAACTAATATTTAAAATACCTTTTTTACTGTTCTTTCTTATTTGTTATAAACACGGATAGACCTTACACGTTGAAAGGACCGTACAATGTGTTGCAGTATCCTTCCAGCTTCCCACGACCCCTTTCTCACCAATTTAATCAATTAATTTGGCCACAGAAGTAATATTGATGTAATACCTTAATTAATCAAATAATGAATGACATGCTATATGTTCTATAATTTTTAAGGATAGGGTGTGTTATTTATATCCATATACAAGTAATGTGATACATTCTTCGACTTTGTTTTTATTTAATTTTTTTCACTTACCTATACCAGAGTATCCCGTAAGAAAAGGAAATATTTAAATGGACGATATTAGACTTCAAAAGCTACAAAAAAGTTTACGTAAACCGTGGTTCGATTTAATTCAGAAAAGCAGGAAATTTAAGGTTTTCTTTTTTAAAGTATGTTACTATTTTATTTTATTTTTTTAATAGTGAGTACTAAAATAGAATATCATGGGAAACTTGACAAATTTTTTTTTAAATACAAGTAGAATTTTTCTTTAAAAGGGTTAAAACCATTTAAAAGGGTTTTTAATTAGCATTTAAGCGACTAAACTATGTTATGTTCTGATTTTAATTAAATGATGGATTATTCACGATATTTTTTCATCTCCTTCCAACTGTATTACTGATACTCCAATTTTAGAAAAATGCCTATGTTTAACAAGCTGTAAGTCCATATTAATAAAGTTGATATTTGTTACATAATCGCCTCTCGTTAAATATATTTTTATTTATAAAGGAAAATACTGTTCATTCAAAAATTTATTATCAACACATATTCGTAGCCATAACGAAAATTCGTCAATTGTATATTACATGAAATAATTTATTCTAGTTCTTTTAATTCTAAGTAAATGAAATTCTAATTTTTACGAACCAAAAAAAATAAAGAGATACCGGTATTTTGTGATTGGCGTTGCAAAAAAATACCGGACGAATATAAGGGTGACCAGGAACCAATATTTTTTTATACAGATTTCTTTAGTGTAAATTGATCTTTATTCTATTAAGTTATTAACTAAATGTTTCTAATCCTAATATTTAGGATTTTTTTCAAAATAATTCAAGCTAATTGTATTGTAAATTTTTTATATTCATTTATATTTTTTTTTTATTTTTTATAAAAAACGGATCTATCAATTTATAATCGAGTGATCTTTAATATCAGATAGGTATTATCCTCATTGAGATCTCTTGACAAGGCTTAAGCGCCGAATTTTCAATATTTCTTCCTATAAATACCTTTAATTTCCTTTCTTTGAAATAATTCATCATTTCTCAACTAGTTTTTTCCTTTTAATTCATAATACCAAGCGGTATAGAATGAATTGAAACACTTTGTATTAGCTCCAGTTATTCTTTAAATAAATACAACTATTTTTAATGTTATGAATATTTAATTATCTTGAGTGTTGGACTTCCAAAAAAATTAATTGGATGGAAAAATATCAACAAAAGTCAGAATATTGGATGGTTGGAAAAATGGAGCATGGTTTATTTTCATTCCTAGGTAGATGTCTCTATTAAAACTTGTGTATCTCCATATGTGCTTATTTTAGGTGAAGATTTTCTAATATTGTAAAATAAGGCTCTGTTTAATTTTTCACAATATTTATTTTAATTTTCATAGCTACGTTTCGGCCGGCAAGCCATGTTATATAACCATGCTTTTTGCAATTATCAGAATCAGAGTTGGACTACATGCAAAAAGCATGGTTGGATAAAATGGCTTGAAGATGGCTTGCCGGCCGAAACGTAGCTATGAAAATTAAAATAAATATGGTGAAAAAATAAACAGAGCCTTGTTTTATAAAACTTGTGTATCTATTTCTTCCTTATCTGTTCTTTTATTTTATTTTTTTTTCTTTACGAATTACTATGTATATATGAAATTATGCACACAATTTTATAATGCAATATAATCAAACAAGTTTTAAAACTTAATTAAGTAGAGTGCAAGTTCACTTTTCATTATAAATTTACGATTTCTTTGTCTACGCCGCTATTTGTGGATCAATCTAAAAAAGGAGTAATCTATGCTTAAAGCTGATGAGGGTGCTCAAGTATCAGCAGTTTCGCCTTCGGTTTATGTTGGCCCTTCAAGCTATCGTGAAAGTAAATTTTAAAATAACAATAATTATATAAAAGGTCCTTGTGAGTGCGATTAAAGGTGAGATGAGTCGCCTTCACCTTGGCTACAGATCCTCAGCAGCCACTGTTGGGAGGGCAAGCGGGCCAAGGCCCCGGTGCAGTCTTGGGTGTTCCTTATCCACTCATCTCCGGCTGCTGATAGTGCATCCATGTGTGCTGTCCCTTCCGGAGCTACCGCGGCAGGAGTCGAATAGGTCGCCTGTGGGAGGAATTGCCGTCGAAAATGTTAGGTCGTCCGGCAATTAATGCAGATTGATGGTTTTAAAATAAAATGGATGATAAAAAACTATTATTCTACATAAAAATGCGGTATATTACTCAATATAGTTCTGCCAAAGTTGGTAAATTTTCCATTATCAATAAATTCTGAAAATGTATATTCAACGAATTTTTATCAATAAAATTTTTACCTTTTAAAAAGTGGGTAGATATGTAAAAAAATATCTAATACGTAGGCGAGAGATCTGGAGAGCAGGGCCAAAAAGTTTTGCTTCTGTTTCGAGAAAGAAATACAGCAGAAACTTCATAAGGAAGAATTTTCGGTGGTCATTTAGTGAATGAAGAACCCAAGTTTCAACTTTTTTGAAGTCTTCATTTGCGTGGGGGCAGGGTAGCCGAACGGGCTAACGCGTGTGCACAACACCCTGTGTTGCCCGCCTCGAAGTTTGAGATAAAAAAATAATTATGAGTTCAAATTCCGGTGCCCGGTGGGACTTTTAACTCGGCATAATCCCATCGCCCTCTCCCCCATTCAGGAAAATCTCCGTGTAACCTAGAAGGCAAAGAAGGGGAGACCAAAAAAAAAAAAAAGAAAAATAATTTCCATTGGCATTGAGGTCCGATGACCGACGATCGAATCGGTAACTCATAGTTTCTATAAAAGTTTTCAAACGGTTGTTCTGGGATAGAAAATCAAAAACACTGGACAGAATTAATTTCAGGTTCAGAAATAATCGAAATATAAAAGTACAGTCGCGGATAAAAAATCGCGGATATATAAATCGCATGACTCAGTACAATTATGTTTTATTTACCAGATTGCTATCTGAAAGATCTCCGGATATTTCTTTACCAGTTTTGTTTTTCTTTTTTACGTGAAGCTAATAGTTTTTTAATATATTTAAAAATGTACTCTTTGATATACGCAATAATAATAACTCATAGTTTGTATACATGATTTAAATTCCCGAGACTTTTGTTGTGCTGGGAAAGGATCCAACACTCCCCAATTGAAATGTAAAGTGCGCCTATTTGCATATATACCTATTAGTTGTGACAATATGACAATAACTGTCATCCCCAGAACAGGTACCGTAAACTATCACGCTAAACCTGATTGTACGACAGTACTGCCAATACAGCAATTATCTTACTGTTGTGCAGCTTAACAATGTATGCAGTATAGTTTTTTACTTAAAAAAAAAAATTTAAATCGAAATTATGTGATGGATGCCAACACGTTCTGTTTTAGTTTATTATTTATTATAATTTATGGTAATTTCATAATTGAGAATCGTGAATATAAACTATTAAAAAAATATAGATAGATTCCACAGACCCGCTTATAAGATACGTACTGCGGGTTTACGTACTCAGGTTTATCTGCGGGGCATCAATTCTTTGTTCTTAAACCTAGGTGGAATATGGTCTTACCTATTCATTTCATGTTTCCTAGAAATTCAGAAATTACATCTTCATTACAGTTATAATTTATTATAATAAAATTTATTTTATCTTTAAACAATGCAATTTATTTTTCAATTTCATGCTATGAAGTTCAGAGTTAAGTATTATTTCATATATTAAACAAAAGTACCAAGTAATTGCAAGAAAATCTCACTGGATAAGTGGCAGTATTACTAGGGGGTTCGAAACCGACTGTGCCAGATAGTTTATTTATTATGTAATATCAGCCATGGATCGATTTTGGGCTGAGGTAATACTCCTGGTACACTCCTAGCTTCAATAATGTGGAATTAATTGTGTTGAAGAATCAACCTCATGGTTGAGCATAAATGTTTAACACACCATCTCTTAGAAAAAAATTTTTTTTTTTAATAAATGAAATTTTAACGTTTTTTTGAAACTTTTTACTATTCCGGATTTATTAAAATTACCCCCCACGAGTTTTTGTCGAATTCATTCAAGGGGTTTGTCAAAAAAATTGATAATGAAATCTGATGAAATCATAAATAAATGACCCTAAGTTTGCATAGTGTTATCTTTATACTGTGTACAATCTGTAAGATTGACTTTTCTCAACCACTGCTCCGTAAGATTTCAGTCTCAAAATCTTTTGCTGATTCCTAAGCATTACTTTAAAGTATTTCTTTAAAGTAAAACATAATTACACAACAAGAAAAGACAAATTTTGAAATCAGGTGTATAACATATAAGATTTTGAAAAAATACATTAATTTATTTAGTTAAGGAGTAATTTAAGTAGTTGAGGAAAAAAAATATAAAAACTTTAGTACAATATGACACATTAATAGAAATTATGTATATTTTCATTATGAAAGAAAAAGGATTTGAAATAATTAATTTTTTATTTTAGATGGTTAATGGCGGTATGTGCGGCTGCTCAGATAGCTACTGAGGATCTCTCAGCATTTATCAGCCAAGCACATGAAACAATGGCACAAAGATTTCGCCTTCTTGAACCGCAATTATACATGAATGGTATTTATTAATCTTAAATTTGATTTAATGATTCCAATCATTAGTTGAATTAAGATAATAGTAAGTTTAATGTTTTAGGCATAAGGCAGAAGGTAGGGAGTCCAGCATGGTTCATGGCTCATCCTGGCAAACCTGAAAGTAAAAACATTACTCATGTGGCACTGATGGCCGAAGAAGCTACAAAATATATGGCACATGCGTAAGTTGATATACTTATACATCAATTGCTTTTATTGTTTTTTATAATTAACATCATTCATTCTAAAAGGTATAAAGACTATTTTTCAATAAACAAAAAAAATATTGTATGAATTTAAACCATTAATGTAGCTATTAGAGCCCCAAGCTAAACTGCTATCAAGTAGACAATAAAAAAATAATATTCACTTGAGCTGTCAATGCTATTTTAATGTATTACATTTATTTATGTTAATTGATAACCAATAGATTACAAATAAGTATTAGTGAAATATCAATCACGTCATTATTGTTGTAATGGGTTTAAATACTTTAAAATTTTTTTTAAACATCTCTTAAATCGACAATGTTATTCCGTTGACCATTAAATTTACTGTATTTAAACTGTATTGAATAAAAATAATAATACAAACAAATCCTATACAGCATTATATATACAAATAATAAAGCAAACAAACATACTTTAAGAACTACTTCATTTTTCTTAACAGACTCGGTCTGAGTGGTGCTGACCTCAGAGGCCTGAGCACCAGCGGGACTGCATTGGCCAGAATTTGCCCGAGCCATGAGAGCCCTTGGTGTGAGGCGCGCAAGTATCGCTCTCTTTCAGGCCACTGCAACAATGTTCAGAGTCCATCCTGGGGATCAGCTGGCACGCCCTACATCAGGTTCCTACCCCCGGACTACGAGGACACTATTTCTCTACCAAGGGGAACTGCCATATAGTAAGTACAATTTTAAGTAATTATTTACTTAAAGACTTTTAAACTTAACAAGTTATATGAATAGTTTACAGACCAAGCAGAACTGTGGGCGGGGTGGCCGAACGGGCTAACGTGTGTGCACAGCACCACTGCCCCGCAACCTGATATTATATAATGATAAAATATAGTCGCGTGTTCGCATTCTGGTGCTGGGGGCATCTTTTAAAATCCCCGCCCACACTCCCTGGCCCGGGAAAACCCCGCATAGCCTTAAAGGTCAGGAAGAAGAGTACCAAAAAAAAAAAAAAAGAAAGACCTAATAGAATTTGCTAAATTATAAATTGTATATGTTTGTAAATTTCATTGTATAACATGATATGTTAGTTTCAATTGTGGTATTAGGGTAAGCACACCAGTGATGGACATAGCTGAGAGAATTTTTGTCTTTTTTGACTTATGCCACTATGATTATCATAGTCAAACTTATTAGTAGGACATTTAGAATCAATCTCTGGTGTCTCCTTTTTCTATTCAACTCTTTAAAATTGATAAAATATTAAGTTATGCAGGTATAATCTCCATTTTAAAAAACTCCTTTTTGCACTAGTGATGGACACCCCAAAATTCAATTGTTCTAGTAACAGACATGGGGTCAGTACCAGTAATGGACATACCTCAGAAAAATTCTAAAATCTTTATTTAATTATAAATATAATGATAAAGATAACATAACATAAATGTTCAACTTACTCTTAGCAGCTGTTAGTAGGAAGGGATGAAACACACTGATCTCAAGAGCACTATAGAAACAATGATAAGCACTTTAAAATTTTCATTTGGCAACTTTGTTCATACAGTTTTCAATAGAAGGCATTGTTCTTCAATCTAGAAAAAACTGGAACCTTTAGATCAACAAGGAAACTTATTAGTTACTTTTAAAGTCCAATCTATCTATCACTGGACCCCTTGTCCATAACTGATGCGTTCGCCCTAATATGACAGTTAACAGATATGGTGGAAATGGGACAAACTCTGGAAATTCCTTAATATACAATAAATTTGATATATAATATTTAAACCAAGATAATTGTTTGAAAATCAGTCAAATAAAAAAGAAATCACTTAATCGCATTTACTTACAACGCAAAGTATTTCCTGTATATTTGCTTATAGTTTGTATCTGATTTAACAGCCCAGATGGTCTACCAAGTGCAAGAGAAGTTTCACTTGCTGTTCATAACCAACTGGACAGGATACATTCGCATCTAGTAGCGACTGCTGCCTTTTGGGCACAGATGGTTGCATATGATGTATCTCTTACTCCAAAAATGACTGGTAAAACAATATTAGTCTTATTAAAACATGTTACTATCTTATTATATGTCTTGTTATATTTGTAAAGATCTAAAAATAAAACCTGAAAGCTTTACCTATTTTATATATTATTAGAGTTCATTTTTGTAAATCTTATAACCTTTTATATAATTACTATTCCAAGTATCAGATCGATTGTTTTTTCAGGAAATAGGAAGAAGTGAACAATACTTCAATTAGGTTTTTTTTTTCTCTTTCTCTTTTATTATATTAAATATGGTATAACATTGAATTTAAAATAAGCTTATGTTTCTTAACATATGATATTGCATCTTATTATCTTGTACAGCTTGTTTAACTTAGTTTAAAAATATAAATATTTATATTAAATATGCATTTCCATCTTTTGGACGCAAATGGTTGCATTCATGACTCTTAATCAAAATATATTTTTTTAAATAATTTTATCCATATTATTTCTTAATTTTCTTTTTGTCTTAAGTTTTAATAAGACATAAAAAAATTTGCCTATGGTATACATAATTTAAAGAAAAAGCATTTAAATTTTAAAAAGTAATATATATTTCCACATTAACCACAATAATATCTGACTAAAATTAATTTTAGGATACAATGGAGAAAGATTAAAATGTTGTGGAGTTGAATTTTCTGATTTTCATCCTGAATGTTTTCCGATTCGTCTGCCTGATGCTGATCCTATACATGGTTCCGCTAGGTGTCAAGAGTATGTGAGATCTGCAACTGCTCCAAGAAAAGCTTGTTCATTAGGTAAATATTCCTGAGAAATATTTATTATTACATGATAAATCTAGCTTGACCACATTATGTATAATTTTCTGATACTATATCATCATTTTTTTGCATGGAAGAAAATAATGGATATTCCAAAATATCTTTGTTAGGATTATTATTCCTCAAACATATCTATCAGTAAACTTGATAATTTTCTAATTTACTCTTCTAAAATTAAAAATATTTGATTGAATTCCTACTTTGAACTTATACTTGACATTATGTCACATTATGATAACCTGGGATATCTGCAACATATTTATAAATACTAAGATTTAATCAATATACTATCATTTTTTTAAAAAACATTCCCCCAGATCTTATTATGTTATTAACCCTCTGACTGTGGAAGCTCATTCGAGTGTTTTTACCAGATGACTGGTCACGAAATCCAAAAAGACTTTCAGAAAAACAGATTTTTTTTTTGCATAAATTTGTTTAAAATACAATTTTGAGTCACCCTGAAAAATCTTAGCTTTTAAAAATGCATTTTAACCTTTTTATTTAACTTTTAATAAATAGGACATATGCCTTTCCGCTCATACATGCCAAAAAAAGCTCGGAGTCAGCTACAGGGGACTAATGAATGCACCGACCAAGCTACAAGTCTTTAAGAGGCAACAGCCAAGGTGGGAAGGCATATGTGACCCAGTCGCACCACTGACCCAACTCCTAACAGGAATGCATGTATCCCATCCACAGTGAAAGGGTTAATAAAATATCTCTTTAGTACTAAATAATAAATATCTTTAATAAATCCCTCAAAGAAATGAATAACCTAAATAACGTTGCTCATCACAAATTTATAATGTTATAGATATTTTATTTTTATATTTTTTCTACATATCAGAAAAAATCAAAATTCTATTGTTATAAAACAATTTTTAAAAATATAATTTTTATTTATTAATTTTTAGGTCCTAGAGAACAGTTAAATGAAGCTACATCTTTCTTGGATGCATCTAATTTGTATGGAACATCTCAAGAAGACAGTGATGACCTGAGGTTATTCAAAGGTGGTTTATTAAAACTCCACAATGGTCTACTACCTTCAGACAATAAGACTGAATGTAGGCCCAATAATAGATTTAAGTAAGTACTTCTAGAATAAATATTAATAACAGTGTATTTATGAACTTTATAATAACCTAGAGTCATACTCACGCAATTAACCGGAGAGAATTTAAAACATACCTCATTAAAATTTAGTAAACTGAAAATTTAATTTACCAAGCAATAAGTAAATTAAAGAGAGGATTTGGACCTTAGTCAAGGCCCTACATGAGTGTTCTTAGGCAGCAAGAAACTAAAAAAATTTCCATCTATGAAAAAACAGTTTAAAACAACCTTATTACACATTTCACTGAAAAGCTTATTTTGTTTTTAAAAATTCTTAGTTTATTCATTACAAAATTAATGTGGATTTGTTTTGTGTTATTCTATAATAAATATAGTTTGAATTTTAAACACAAAGCTGTGCCTGAGATTGATAGATTGATAACTTAATTCTTCGTATATATATATATATATATAATAAGGAAATAAAGTTGTATACAATTCAATCTACTAAGCTGAAGAAAAATGGAGTACCTATTTATGAAGTAAAAATAGTCAAAATGCATTTTTTGTTCATGTACATTTTATTTGATCCAGACTTTCATTGATCTGGACAATCTTTAGTCCCATCTACTTGGCATTAGCGATACTAATAATGTGTTGTACTAATAAAGAATGAAAAATTCATTTGTGTGTTTACAAATAATATTTTTATTTTATTTTTTAAAAAATGATCGATAGATTATAGCCATTTTATTTTAAAATATAATATTGTCTGTTTTTCAACTAAATATACTGATGGAAAGTTGTATTTTTTTAGATGTTTTAGAACTGCTGATACAAGAATGAATGAACATGTTGGTCTTGCAGCTTTACAAAATATCTGGGCAAGAGAGCACAACAGACTAGCCGCAGAATTGGCAAAATTAAATCCTCATTGGCCTGATGAAATCTTGTTTCAAGAGGCTAGAAAAATTGTTATTGCAGAAATACAGTATATAACCTTCAATGAATTTTTGCCACTTATACTTGGAAAAGTAAATTTTATTTAAATAGTTTCTTTTGAATTTTTGTAATATTTTATTGCATTTATGTGTTTATAATAATATACTTTTATTTATTAACTAAAGGGGAACTCCTATCTTGCAAATTATACAACTGTTCGTTTAATTGTACTACTTGTTGCTCAAATTGTATAACTGTAATTTACATATATTCTGTAGTTCAGATTGTATTATTTTTATCAACATAAAATAAACGGAGTGAAACCACAGTTCGGACAAACTTTTAATTTATTTAAAAATCTATATTATGCATTGCCCATTATTGTAAATTTAATTGTGGGTCTTTGGTTGAATGCAATGGATAATTGAAGAGGATGCTTGGGTTCAGTCAAATTGAAATGGTAAAAAATATATAGTTTTATAATAAAATTATAATCATTTATAAGGAGTAATATGTAAAATAGTAATTTGTTCCCGCTTTGTATATGTAAAATGAAATATTACACAATCATCACTATAACTTTTTTATATAATAGAGAGATATTTTTATTTATTTAAATTAAATTCACTGATTTTCCTTATCTTGTGAATTATATGAAATGGCTTTGCTTTTTTCTTTTTTTTTTTTAATGAGAACCATGTCAAATGGCTTGACACATGTTGATTAAAGGATTTTTTTTCATTTTTTTTTTAAATTAATTTTAAAAACATAATAAATGTGTGTGAATTTTGTTGTTTTTATTTTATAGATGTTTTTGATCTGTTTGGCAGTTTAAAGATGTTCCAGTGTGACTGTCATAGAAAAACTTTAAATAGTGTAAATAATAAACTCTATCCCGATCATACCCCTGAAGAAGACTTGCATAGTTGGGTCGAAACATTGGCTTAAAATAAAATATTTTTTCACTATTTAAAGTTTTTTTATAACTGTCACCCCAGACTATCTTTTTCCTCAATATTATAATGTAGTCAACCATTGAGTATTCATTAAAGAAATCTTATTTCAGGATACAATGGCTGCCCACAGTTTATCATTGGATACTGATGGTTATTTCCAAGGTTACAAAATTAATGAGAATCCTGGGATCGCTAACAGTGTCGCTTCAGCTGCTCTTCACTTTTCTGTTTCACTTATGCCCACCATGTTAAAATATTATGATTCTGTAAGTATGCATGAAAACGGCATCATAATATTTCGGACTGAATATTTGTCTAACTATTAAATTTTATTTCAGGAAGGCAATGAAATAGGTGAAGATTCTCTGGGAAATTCTTTCTACGCTCCTTTTCACCTATATGCCCAAAATGGTTTAGAGTCTGTTATGCAGAGTCTTCTCAGGGTTTCAGCTTTGAATAATAATCAGCACGTTAATTCGATATTCACAGATCACATGTTCGAACAACCAGATGAAGGTAAACTAATTAATGTAGCTTAGCATTATCTTTGTTCTGATGAGATATATTTTTTATCAATAAACAGTAACACATTAATTCCATTCTGATCTTTTTAATTGAATATCATAAACTTTGAATGATATCAAAATCTTTTCCTTTTTTTCTTCTTCTCCCCTACCTCACTTTTTTGGATTCAAACTCATAATCTTTGGTTTATCAGGTTGCTGTGCATAAATGGTAATAAAATTGGTCTAAAAACCTGAAGGAATAAAGAAAACAACTCACCAAATAACCTATTCTTTTGTTGATAGCCTTGCCCAGTAATATTCTGATTATCCGTATAGAACAAATCTGTTCTTATCTGGGACTTTATCTGTACCTCGTTGAATTCAATAAAAAAATTTAAATATACAATCATTGGCCCTCCATAGGTCAATTGGCTGACTTGTATTAGAAGGGAGCCAATCTACGAAATATGAAAAAAGTATTTAGAAGTGGTTTTAAATGGAATTAGTGCTTACTATTCTCATCAAAAAAGAACCATTCTTGATTCAAGTATCTTCGATAGAAAATTGAAGTTAAAAAAAAATATATTGGACATAGATAATTTTTCTTTATTTAAAAATGATATTTTTGGTTGAATGAAATATGTATATTTTTACTTTCACTTACCTATATATGAAATATATAGTAAAGGAAAGTATTGCGATCGTGAAAATTTTTGAATCTCAGTTTTCAACAGAAATACATGTTTTGAGGCCTGCCGAGTCCAAATAACAGAGTCCCACAAAATAGTCTCAGTGTGTGTGTATTAACAGTATAGCTCAAAACGAAAAGTTGTATGAAAGTGAAATTGCATATTAATTTTTTTATATGCTTGGGATGTTACAACAACTTTTTCATAAAATCGGCTAACTGCAAGTGGCACTTTATATCATGGACTAAATACATTTTCTCAAAAACATCTGTAACGATTTTGATTAAATTCATTATATCAATGTAAAATAAAATGTAGTTTTTATTCAGATTGATGTTCTGTAACAAGGCTTTAATGGCTAATTTTCAATATTAGCTTCCTCTAAAGTACCTTTAATTTTTTTTTATTTGAAAAAATTGACCATTTCACATTAATCTCTAATATATATGGAAATATTTATTTCTGATAAGAAGAGGATAAGTAAAATTTGTGTGATTTTTTTTAAAAAAGTACCAGATTTTTTTTTTATAAAAAGCTGAAACATTTATAATTCAAAGCTTTAGAATTTTTTCAGTGCCATTTAACTTGATTTGAGTCGGACGTTGATGACCTTGAAGTTTTACACCTTAAAACCCCAACAAACAACTTGACTTGAGTTTACTAAAAATTTATGAAATATAGATTGATTCTTTTCTGTTAAATACCATCCAAATAATCATTACATTTGTATAGATCTTTTATTTAAAAAAATTATTTTAGTTTTAAAACAAACATAATTAATAAAGTGTTTGAGAAATACATATTATATTTAATTAAATACTATTTTTGAGAAATTGTTACTATACTACCATTTAAGAGAGTACTGTTTACAATTGAATATCCTGTTTTATTTCAGCTGGTTTGGACTTAATTGCTCAACTAATCCAGCAGGGAAGAGACCATGGAGTACCATCTTATCAGGAGTGGAGGAGATTCTGCAATCTCTTAGTGCCCAACACCTTTGAGGACCTTGAAGGAGATCTAACTTCTGAAGCAGTGAATGACCTCCGTAGAGTATATAAGTAAGAAATTCTTATTATATTTTATTAATCTTAATAATTATTGCAATATTTCTGCCTGATTGAAATATTTATTATTACTTTTCTTTATTTTTGTAATTAATTTACTAGTTAACTTTTTTTAAATATTTGTTAAATCATGTAAAGGGAGTGGGGTAGCTCAGCTTTGGTAGGGTACTGAGCTTCCAATGCTAAAAGTCTCAGGTTCGAATCCCGGCTCATGACAGAAAAATTATTTATTCTGTTTCATAGACCGAGGGGCGACCCTGGGTAGATAGACCCTCCTGGAGCACACCCAGCCTCTGTAAAGTAGGTTCCTTTAATTAAAATAATTAATTAAGGGAAAAACCTGGCGGTTGAGCGTAATCTCGGTTGAATCACCTCCTTGCACAACTGTAAACCAAGAAACAATGCTTTCCCTAAATAGTACTGGACCCTTCATGGGTTGTAGTGGTACAGGTTTTTGTAAATCATGTAAAACAAATTCATGATAGCTGAAAATTTATTTGATCGAAAAATCCTGATTGTATATCCATTCAAGGCTGCCTTTTTACCTTATGTATATAATTCAAACTTATAATAATAATATAATTATTATACTAAGTGGAACTATATTTAAATTTAATAAAATAAAATATATTTCAATTTATCATTTTTTATCTTTTATTATCTTAACTGATCTATAAACTGATATATTTTCTTTTTTTTTGTAGTTAAATAAATATTCTAAATAATTATGTAATTTTATTTCATTCAATTTTTTATGTAGAAATGTTTCTGATATTGATCTTCTCTCTGGTGCTTTATCTGAACAAGTACCAGATGGAGCTACTGTTGGACCAACACTTCGTTGCTTACTAGCGAAGCAGTTCAAATCATTGCGCTCTGGGGACAGACATTGGTTTGAAAATGATTGGGCTGGATTTACTAAAAGTCAACTAAATTCAATCAGAGAAGGTGCCTCTCTGGCAAGAATAATCTGTGATAATACTGAAGTCAAATATGTTCAACCTAATGCATTTTTAGCACAAGATCCTTTTCTGTAAGTAATTTTCTATCTATTGTCCACATTAGATACTATATATCTGATATTTTAAGTATATTCATTATTATTAACTGAACATTAACAATATTTTAGAAACGCACCAATGCCCTGTTCATCCGGTACTATCAAGTCACTAGACATGTCTTTCTGGAAAGAGCAAAAGAAACTATTTATTATCCCAAGTTCAGTTCTAGCCGAGACATTCAAAAATGCTCAATCAGATGTTAGAAATATACACAAACGAGAATGGCTGTTATATACGCACAGTGAGTTAAATATCATTAGCTTTAGAAATATTTACAGTGGCAGTAAAATAAAGGCTGATCCACATTAGAAAAGGACTAATGTGCATGTTATGATCAAACCAAAACTTGATTGTTGAAACTGGATTTAAAAGCTCTCCTATTCACATCCGCTATGCAACAGGGCAAGTGGTAGTCAAACCAATGATTGACTTTTCACCTAACCGTGCTCTACATTCTTTATGTCCATAAGTGAATTTGTGCTAAAATCTATTGTTTATAGTATTATTACATTTAATAATAGATAAATTGATATTATTCTAAATATTTTCAACCAAAACTGAAATGAAGTGGCTTGAATATTAGTTAAATTTGTTACAAATATTATTTATGCTACAACTTATTTATATTTTACTCTCATTAGAGCTGTTTAATTATTAATTACTGACAACAAAAGCTTTTTGTGAAAATTATAGTTGGAAAAAATGAATTAAATGATGATGTCTTAAATAATAAAAAAAGAGAAATGTACATTTGAACTGATACACAAACAACCTTAGAGAAAATCAGTAATACATTACTAGTTTACTAGAAGATAAATACAATTTTGTTTACTTTCATTAAATCAAAATCTATCAATGAATACGATATTTGAAAACAAGGTTATAACTTTATTTCAGAAGAAAAAAAGTTATTTATATTTTTCTTTTTTTCTTTTCAGATCTCATGGCAGATCCTCAGTCACCAATTGGTACAGCTTTTGGGTTTAGTCGGCCAAAACGACAAGCAGCGAAAATAGCAAATACTTCTTTGATGTTGGAATTTGCTTCATCTAGAATTGTACGAAGCTTCATCCAAGGGTTTGTCAATATTTAATTATCAGTAAATTATTAAAACCTGTAATGTTCAAAACTAAATGTTTTGTCTGAAAAATATAAGTTTCCTTTTAGAATATATTGCATTAATAAAAAAAAAAAAAAATGCTTACTGTTGTAAAATAACAATGGTTTCTTGTTAAGCCCAAATATATGGTGAATATTTTATTTACGTTATTACTAATAATTATTATGTTATAATGATTTAGAGAACTTCAAGATTTAGAAACCAAGGATGTCAATAGCCTCATATCAACCTTACCATTTGTTGATTTGAGTTTCATAGATGATATTGGTGACAATGAATGTTTAGACACTGCTTTACCATGTGATTACACCCAAAAATATAGAACTATTTCAGGCTGGTGTAACAATCTTGAACACCCAGACTATGGCCAAAGCTTCAGAGCTTTTAACAGATTTTTGCCTCCAGCTTATACTGATGGTAATAATTATATAATTAATCATTTATTATTATTACTAAGAATTATTTTTATCAACATAATTTATAATAAGATACTTTTAAACTAATATTTTAAATTTCATTCTTATTCTACATAAAAATTACTGGTTTTTACTCTTGCTTAAGGTGTCGGAACTCCCAGAGCTCTTTCTGTGACTGGTAAACAACTTCCTAGCCCTCGGTTAATCTCGACAAATATTCACAGTGATACAAGCAGACCGCACACCAGATATTCATTAATGGTTATGCAATTTGCCCAAATTACAGATCATGATCTCACCTTTACTCCAGTTAACAAAGGTAATTGATTAATTAATTAAGGACTTTCGAGTAAGCATTTGGTCCCTTAAAATTAATTTACTTTTCTAACATATTGAAAGAAAAATATCAACAATATTTTATAAAAAATAAATTTTTAAAATAATTTCTACCAGATCAATGACTCTTAAAGTTTGCACCATAGTAATCTGACCTCTTTTAAATTATAACAGTATTTCTATTTTAGGATATAATTCTTATTTAGAATTTTTAAAAAAATCAGTTAAGAACAGGTTTTGAGATATCACTTAATTTATATGTTTTGATTTGAAAATAATATAATCACTGTTGTACTCAATTGTCTAAAGACCCCCATGTTATACTTTCTTCTTTTTTTTTTTGGCATTACAGACCATATAGATCTTTTGCCACCTTAACAAGCCTGCTCCATCCTGCATGTCTTGGGCTATTTCCTTCCATTTATCTGCACGCAACTCTATTGCATCTTTATTGATTCTATCTATCCATCTGCTTTTTGACCGTCTACGTGGTCTTTTGCCTTCTATTGAGGCATTCATTTTTACATATAAACTTCCAGATGGATTGCTACAAGCTACATGCCCCGCCCACCTTAACCTCCATGTCTTCATATCATGGGATATGATTGACCACTTTCTGTAAGCAATTCTTTATTGGTCTTTCTTCTTCATGTGTTAGTACTCTGATCCCAGATCACCCTGGTTATTGTGCGGAGGATTTTCCTCTCAAATCTTTCTACACCTTTTTCTAGGTTGCTGGTTATTGTCCAGGTCTCATATATTAGGACTGGCTTTATCATAGCATTGTACATCCTTAATTTGAGATTTTTTGGAGATTTCAATACCTTTGAGGGGGAGACGAAAGCTCTGTTTACACTAAATACACTGGTCTATTTCTGCCCATTGGTCATTCATTGAGATTATTGTGGAGCCAAGATATTTTAATTTGTCTACTCTTGGGAGTGATTTTCCTTCTATGTAGATCCTGTTATTAGGGGAGGGAGGAATTTTCGGCTTATTGTCATATATTTTGTCTTCATTTACTTGTAGGCCAATCTACTCTACCTCTCTTATCAGAGTTGTAGCGAGTTTCTCAATGTCCTCTTGATTACTTCCAAGGACTGCTATATCATCTGCATATCCTATATCATGTTATACTACTGGACCATATTTTAGTGAAATAATATTGTGGTGTTTGATATTTAGTTCAGAGTCTCAATGAGCACAAGTACTCTTAATTGCAAAACCATAATCTGAGTGACCCAACTAAACAAATCTTGATCTGCTTTGAATATCAAATTTCTTTTGCAAAATTATGCTAAAATTTTTCTATTCTTGATTAAGAAAGGTAACTATCACTGATATGAAACTCTCAGATATCCTTGAATAGCAATTGTATAGCCTAGGGGCCTTTAGAAGGCTTATCACTGGAAACGGCAGTCATAAGAGAAGTGGTAGTAACCATCATAGATTTAACAAATAAATATTCAAAAAATAGTTATCCATTTTAGTATTAAATAAATAAATGAATGTATGCATTTCTATTATAACTCAAATAATAAACAAATTATCTGAGAAAAATACTTATGGAAACTTCTACTGATTGAGAAATTTAGTAAAAATATACTTGATAAATATAAAATAAGTGATACCTTCTGGAGTTAAATTTATTGATAATCTTTATTTCTTTTTTTTCAGGTTTTATTAATGAAGGAATATTAAACTGTCTCTCATGTGACTCCAAAGAAACTGTACACCCAGAATGCTTTCCAATTCCTATACCAGATAATGACCCATATTTTCCTTCGAAGGATCCAAATACTGGGAAAAATCTGTGTATACCTGCTACCAGGTCCATGCCAGGCCAACAAACTTTGGGTTTGTTCTTAATTGGAAAGTTTATAATAAAATGTTGTTGTTGTTTTTTCAAATAATATAATTTGTTAACAAAACTTTTTTTTTCTAAACTGTCTGTTAATAAAAACAAATTAATAGAAATATAACATTTGAAGAAACACTTTCAAGGATATTATTATAATAAGACTTCAATTTCAAATTCCTTAGTTAAAAATTTACAAATTCATGATACCTTTATTGATGAAACGTTGATTGGTTGGTTATTAACTCATTTGTGAGACTTAAAGACATCTTTAAGATCTTCCAACTATATTCTCACAATATTTTTTGTCTCTTTGTTAATATATTTTCTCTCTTTATTTATTTTTTCTTTGTTTACTGTTCCTAATTTTGCAAGACGGATATCTTTTAAAATATTAGAATATTGTAAGATCAATGATCATTAATTTTTCTCTACTATTTAATCCTGTTTGAATTTTAATAAATATTGTTATTTCTTACATATTTCAATGAATTTAGTAAATTTTCTAGGAAAGGAGAATCATTCAGTAATTTTTAAGTTAACAATTTTAATATATTTGATTTTACAATTCCATTTCTTATATATCTTTTTAAGTTTGCTGTTTTTCATTAAAAATTATGCCAACAAATTTTAATAAATTCAGTTCAGAAGTTGAACATGATTTTTGTAACAATCCAGTAAAAAAAATTAAATGTTATATAAAAAACATTATCTATAACCTAATAAATATATACTTTATTTTTTTATTATTTATTACTATTTCTTATTGAATTATTTTATTTATTTTTTATCAGGACCCAGAGAACAAATGAATCAACTTACAGCATATCTTGACTTAAGCTATGTTTACGGTAGCGACAATTGTGAAGCTCGCATTCTAAGAAGTTTTTCTGGTGGAAAACTTAATGTTACCAGGGTACCATATGGAAAATCTTTACTTCCAGAATCAAGATCGAATCCTGAATGCCGGTCTCGAACAAGAATTTGCTTCAATGCTGGTAAGTGAAAATATTGTAATCAACCCAATTTGATGAAGTTTCATCTACTCCTAGGATTTGTCAAATTAAAGAGAAATATTTAGAGAGAGAAATATGGTTGACAATTAAAATTATGGAGATGACATATAATCAGGATATGCAGTCATTTGTGTTGTTTATTAAATTTGCCAACATTTCAAATATAGGAATATTTAATATTAATTATCATTCATTTATTTTTTTAGAGTTTATACTGTTAGTGTCTCAATCTAGGAGGCTTAATATAAGAAATCTAGGTACTTTGATTAGTTTCCTTCTAAATAATAGTATCAAAATTCATCTAATGGTGCCTGAGATGCTTGGATTCTTATAAAATGATGTGCATTTTGTATTTCTAGTATCTTATCTATGACAATAGCTTTTACTAGTACAGAATAAATCTTGTAAGGGATTTTAAACCCAGATGTTTATGTTAAGTTTATTCTTTAAGCTGTCATTGAAAATAAAATTAAATGAAAACAATATTTTATTTAGGAACTTTGTATCATAAATAATTTTTATATCTTCAAAACCAAATTTGTGGGTTTTTTTTCAATCCCATGTTGTACCAGTACAGTTTCTAAATTATATTTAGATTTTTTTTTTTTTTATATTATCATTTTCATGTTTTCTTTTTTTTTATATGATTATAATGACAATAATATAATGGAAAGTCAATATAGCAGAGAAATTAGAGTGGTTTACTAGTAAAGTAAAGATCATAGGATCGAATAACAGCCCCTACTTCCTGTGGTCTGGTCCTTGCGGGAAGTTAGACAATATCCCCTAAATTAGGAAAAACCTACAAGTTGAAAATATGTTTGTAAAAACAGGCTACTAAAAAAAATAAAAAGATATATAATTAATCATCTAAATAATATAAAATATGATGGATAAATCATTACATATACTGTTTGACAATACCTCAAAATAACCAATATGCTTATGAACTACCATACTTCAAATTTAATATTACAAAAGCATTATTATTTTATGGAGGAGAAAATGGTTCAGATGAGTATCAACAATAACCCTAAAGTATAATAGAAATTATTTATTTAATATCATTGTTTTATGTTAAATATATACTTTTATTTTATTAAACTATATTGGTACAGTGACTTTTTAAAACTAGTATCTGAAATAAAATATTGACAATTATAATAGGCTAAGAATGTTAAGATAACAGATATAATGTGGATTTCAGGAGATGCAAGGGCTAGCGAGCAACCTGCTTTGGGATCTTTCCATACCGTTTGGCTTCGAGAGCACAACAGGATAGCCCATGAACTTTCAAAGATCAATCCACATTGGTCAGATGAAACTTTATATCAAGAAACCAGAAAAATTTTAGCAGCTGTTTATCAACATCTAACATTCTCAGAGTTCTTGCCGAGAATCCTTGGAAGAGAAGCAATAAAGAAATATAATCTCGATCTTCTTCTGGATGGATATTTTAAAGGTTCCCTATCCAAACAATTTCTCAACTATCAAAGAAAGTATTTTACAATTAAATCATTGTGAGTTTATTTCAGGCTATGACCCAACATGTGATGCAACTGTTGTGAATGAGTTTTCTTCAGGAGCTTTTAGATTCGGACACAGTCTACTGCGACCAGGTTTTAGAAGAGTATCTCCTGAGTATATTGAAAAAGGAACATTTGTAATGTTACGAGATCATTTTTTCAATCCTGAGGTTTTGTTTATTTTTAAATTCTAATTTCAAATAATTTCTTAATCTGGACAATGCTAAATATAAAAAATATAGAATAATTTACGAGAGTTTTTTATATTAGGTCCTTTATACACCAGGAATCATTGATGAAATCTTGTTAGGTCTTATTGATACTCCTATGGAAACATTAGATAATTTTATAACAAAGGAAGTGACTGAGCATTTGTTTGAAAATAAAAGTAGACCGTTTTCAGGAATGGATTTGATTTCTTTAAATATACAAAGAGGTATACAATTTTTTTCACTACTCCTTTATCTTTATTTTATTTATTTATTTATTTTGTCTGTTGCTATTACAGACCTCATAGATCTCTTACCTACTTAATAAACCTACTCCACTCTGCCTATCTTCGGTTACTTCTATATTGGACTATTCTCTCGTCACTTAAATATTTAAAAAATTTATATCAAAAGTTATTTTATTGACCACTTTAAATTTTAATTGATCTGAATGAATTTACTTCTAGCACGAGATCATGGTGTGAGTGGTTATAATGACTATCGTGAAGCTTGTGGATTGAAAAGGGCAAACAGTTTTGATGACTTCCTGGATACCATTTCAGAACCTATTGTTGCTAAATTAAGTGAGTTATACGAACATGTTGATGATGTAGACTTCTTTCCTGGAGGGATGAGTGAATATCCACTACATGGAGGAGTTATTGGACCAACATTTGCATGTATCATTGGCAATCAATTTTCAAGGATACGAAGATGTGATAGGTTTTGGTATGTGTTATTATTAAATTCTTCTCGTAAACTAATTTTCTCAAGACTATATTTTACTTCAGATTATGTAATGTTTTGAATGTTACTTTCATACTGTAATATTTTGGTTGTTACTTCCATTATCAAACTTAACACTTTACTTATATCTGAAGTAAATCATTCTATTATAAATTCTCATTGTCTCTTAATACGTGGTCACTAAGTCTTTGCTGTAGACCTGGGCAGAATTTATTTGAAAAATATTCCCGGAATAAATCCCTAAATAAACCTCGATAGTTATTTCCGAAATAATTTATTTCATGAAATAACCTGACCATTATTTCCGAAATGATTATTTCGGGAATAAATTATTTCAGGAATAACGATATCTGAAATGATTATTTCAGGAATAATGTGAAATCTGAAATAATCATTCCGATCGACTTTTAGATATAATCAATATCCGGGTCGACTGTTATGTTTTCGGGGGCGCTAATTATAAAAATAATGTCGAATTCGATATTGCACCACCCCCTCCCCACCCCCCATCGACTTTTTGTAACTTTTCAGATATAATCGATATCAGGGTCGACTTTTATGTTTTCGGGGGCGCTTTTTATGAAAATACTGTCGAATTTGATATTGCACCACCCCCTCCCCACCCCCCATCGACTTTTTGTAACTTTTCAGATATAATCGATATCAGGGTCGACTATTATGTTTACGGGGGCGCTTTTTATGAAAATACGGTCGAATTTGAAATTGCACCACCCCCTCCCCACCCCCCATCGACTTTTTGTAATTTTTCAGATATAATCGATATCAGGGTCGACTATTATGTTTACGGGGGCGCTTTTTATGAAAATACGGTCGAATTTGAAATTGCACCACCCCTCCCCACCCCCCATCGACTTTTTGTAACTTTTCAGATATAATCGATATCAGGGTCGACTATTATGTTTTCGGGGGTGCCAGTTATAAAAATAATGTCAAATTTGAGATTGCGTCCCCCCCCCTTCCACTTCCAGCATCAACTTTTTGTAACTTTTCGGATTTAATCCATATCAGGGTCGACTTTTATGATTTCGGGAGCGCTTTTTATGAAAATACTGTCAAATTTGATATTGCGCCATCCCCCTCCCCACCCAGCATCGCATTTTGTAACTTTTCAGATATAATCGATATCAGGGTCGACTTTTATGTTTTCGGGGCCGCTAATTATAAAAATAATGTCAGATCTGAGATTGCGCCCTTCCACCCTCCCGCATCAGCTTTTTGTATCTTTTCAGATTCAATCGATACCAGGATCAACTAATATGTTTTCGGGGTAGCTAATTAAGAATATACGGTAGAATTTGAAAAAGATATCCCAAAAACATAAAAGACCACCCTGATATCGATTACATCGGAAAAGTCACTAAAACTCGATTGGGGGGGGGAGGGAGAGGCGCAATCTCAAATTCGACCGTATTTTCATAAAAAGCGCCCCCGTAAACATAATAGTCGACCCTGATATCGATTATATCTGAAAAGTTACAAAAAGTCGATGGGGGGTGGGGAGGGGGTGGCGCAATTTCAAATTCGACCGTATTTTCATAAAAAGCGCCCCCGTAAACATAATAGTCGACCCTGATATCGATTATATCTGAAAAGTTACAAAAAGTCGATGGGGGGTGGGGAGGGGGTGGTGCAATATCAAATTCGACCGTATTTTCATAAAAAGCGCCCCCGAAAACATAATAGTCGACCCTGATATCGATTATATCTGAAAAGTTACAAAAAGTCGATGGGGGGTGGGGAGGGGGTGGTGCAATATCAAATTCGACCGTATTTTCATAAAAAGCGCCCCCGAAAACATAAAAGTCGACCCTGATATCGATTATATCTGAAAAGTTACAAAAAGTCGATGGGGGGTGGGGAGGGGGTGGTGCAATATCAAATTCGACTTTATTTTTATAATTAGCACCCCCGAAGACATAATATTCGACCCTGATATCGATTATTTCAGAAAAGTTACAAAAAGTTGATGTGAGAGGGTGGGGGGGCGCAATCTCAAATTCGACCGTATTTTCATAAAAAGCGCCCCCGAAAACATAATAGTCGACCCTGATATGGATTAAATCCGAAAAGTTACAAAAAGTTGATGGGGGGTGGGGAGGGGGTGGCGCAATCTCAAATTCGACAGTATTTTCATAAAAAGCGCCCCCGAAAACATGGTGCATATTGGTAATTTTTTTATGTTATTTCAGAACAATGTTATTTCTGAAATATTTATTTCTTGATTTTATGCAATAATTTATTTATGAAATAAATAATCCTGAAATAATAGTTATGAAATAATTTATTTCAGAAATAACTCATTTCGAAATAATTTACATTATTCCAAAGAATGTTAAAATAGTGAAATAATTATTTCAGAAATAAATTCAGAGTTATTCCATCGAGATTATTTCGTTGACTGTTTGAAATATTATTTCAGAAATAACCGTTATTCCCGAAATAATTCATTCGTGGAATAACCATGTGAATTATTTTAGAAATAAATTATTTCAAGAGTGCCCAGGTCTACTTTGCTGTTACATTAGAGTCCTACAAATCCAGTCTAAATGGGACAGGAATCCATTCAGAGTAAATATTTTTTTTTTTTACATACATACATAGTTTGCGCAACAACCCGTTAATGGATCTAGGCTGCCTTCAAAAATCTCTGCCAGTTGGCTCTATCTGTTGCTGAAGCTCTCTAGTTCCTAACGGCGAGGAGATTTTGTGCGTCCGCTGTGATGGAATCAGCCCACTTCACATTTGGCCTACCCACTCTTCGCTTGCCATGAAGCTCTTCAGCGGATGTCCTCTTAGGGATCTCGTTGCCACGTGGCCCGCCCATCAGAGTCTTCCAATCTTGATCCACTTGATGATATCAGGATCTCTGTATAGCCTTGAGAGTTCCTGGTTCTTCCTCAGTTTCCAGGTGTCTCCTTCTCGAACCGAGCCAAAAATTCCTCTCAATATCTTCCATTCAAATACCAGAAGGAGGTTCTCACTGGCTCTAGTGAAGGCCCAGGTCTCTGACCCATATGTAAGAACCTGACGAATCAGAGTCTTATACAGGCCGATCTTGGTCTTGTTGCAGAGATGTCTCCTTTTGAAGTATTTTGCTAGCCCAAAATAGCTTCAATTGGCTGTGCCAATTCTCTGTTTGATCTACTGAGATAGGTCATTTTGAGTCTTTACATTTGAGCCCAGGTATACGAAAGTTTCCACCCTCTAAAATCTATATGGTCCAACTTCATGACTGTCCCATTTGGCGATCTCCAAGTGGCTTTGTGGATGTTCTTGCCAGGAAACAATGTGCTGCCAATGACTAGACCCTGTGCTGCAGCAAAGTCTATGAGCCTTTGACAATTATCATTCGTGCTTTCATGTAGACTGAAGGCTCCCGTTGTTGGACGATAAATGGTTTCCTGACCAATTTGGGCATTAAGAATGATCTTGCTATCATTTTCGGGGCAGTTTCTGAAAGTGCTTGCCAATGCTTCATAGAAGATACCCTTATCCTCATCTGATGAGACTTCAGTTGGTGCGTGGTAGTTCATAATAGAGAGATTGAAGAATCTTCCTTTGAAAAACATATAACATAGTCAGGGAGAGATAGGCTTGAACTTAAGGACAAGCTGGCATGCCCTTCCTCTAACTACAAATCCTGTACCAAAGGTGTGTTTGTTTTCGTGGCATCTATAATATACTGTGTGGTTTCTCTTTTCTAGTAGGTCACATCCGAGCCAGCATACCACCTGGATTGCTGCAATGTCCATGCGGTATATGTTAAGTCCTGCAAGAAGCGCCTAAAAGGTCTCATTAGGGATAAAATATTCCAATATGCTAATCTTAGGTCATTATGACGATTCCTGGGTCTATTCCTTAAAATCAGTCCAGCTTCTGTGCTTCGTAGATGTTTCGTGATAGTTAAATTTTGGGGGAATGGGTTATCGGCCCACTGCCCCCGAGTCAGGTGGAGGGGCTGTCTCCTATGAGCGCCCTGAAGCACTCCCCCATCTGGAGCGGCTACCCAGGGGAGGTGACCCTGGGGTGTGTACTGTGATTGACCTTTGTCTGTAATGAAGTGTGATGTTATTGAGTACTGTGTGCATGTTAGTGTGTGTTCCCCCCAACCTGGAGGATGGATGGTTGTTTGCAGCCTTATGGCTGGGCGATGGGGCCGCCACATCCCTACGCCGCTTTTTATTTTTTAACAACCCATAAACCAACCCAACATACAGTATATAATGAATACAAAAATAATATTTTTGACTCAATGAAGGATTAATCCTGTCTGGAATACTCATACATTCAAACCATTAGGTTCATTTGATGAAATTGAATAAAATGATTTGTTTTCTTCTTTTTTTTTACATGTTACCAGTTTTTTTTGTTTTGTTTTTTATTTTCAATTTTCATTGGTTTCTCTGCAACATAAATAAGCTTACTTATTTTTTTATTTTATAAATGATAAAACTTTAACAACTAATATAGCCTACCAAATTAACGTATATAGTGAAATATTTTTTATTTCTATAGAAATATATTTTATTTCTAAAGGTATGAAAATGACCAAGAATTCACAAGGTTTACTCCTCTCCAATTAGCAGAAATAAGAAAAACAACAATAGCAGCACTGTTCTGTAATAATCTCGACAATATCTACACAATACAGAGGGCTGTTTTAGATCTACCAGATCCTTTTATGTAAGAAAACATGTGTCTGAATTCTCTTATCAAAACAAATTACTTTAATTTAAATACCATTTTGAACTAATAAACTTTTTGTGTCTCAGGAATCCTCGAGTTAAGTGTAAAACAATTCCTCAAATTGATTTAACACACTGGAAGGAAAGAGCATCGTGTTTTATAGAAAATGTCAGCATTGATACTGGAAGGACTATTAATATTTCGCCCTGTGTGTCCTGTACCTGCACCAAAGAAGGGGTACGTCCAAATTGAAATGGGAAATTTCTAGTTTATTTTACATATTGGGTTTTCAAACAATTATTAAAAATAATATTAAATAAATCAGTTCTACAACAATCCATGAAGAGCTCTGTTAAGGTTGTCTGATTCATAGTCTGCAATATTTTTCCAACTCTGATAAATGCAACCTTCAATCTTTAAATAATCTATATAGCATTTTTTTTCTTCAATTTACTTTTGGAGATGCCAAAAAATAGATATCAATACAAATTGATTTAAAGTGCCACTTCCTAAATAATTTTTATATATTAAATTGTTAATTTAATCATTTATTTACTACTTATATCAGTAAATAATAATCACAAATGCTATTTCTGAATTCATATATATTGGATAAACTAACATTAATTTTAATATTTCAGCCCATCTGCCAGTCAATTAAAGTGAAAAACTGTATTTCACTCCTTCACAACTACACTCCAGATGCAGTTGCTAATGACACAGTTTGCAAAGTCCAGTGCTTATATATTTTCAAAGTTGTGCAAGAATATACACAAAGTCAAACTAATATCAAAAACATTAGTTAGTCAACTGTTTAACTATAATTAAATGTATTTTTAATATTTGTTTAAAATATTGAAGAAAACTGTAAAAAAATCAAAATATTTATGTGTTAGAAAGCTTGACCTAAACGCTTAAAAATGATATTAGTTACCACTTCTACTCCAGTTAAGAAAAAACTGTTTAAGTTAGTATGCCAATTACGGGTCAATATTTCACTTATTCAATTGCATTGAAAGATATTTTATAAAGAATAGGCAAACTAATATTTGGCCAATTGGTCTTTCAAATTTGATCTTGTTTTGATAAAGCATAATCAGATACCAACTAAACAGTGTTTTCACATTACTTCTGTTAATAAATAATAGAAACGTAAAATAAACTTGATCATTATTTCATATTTAATAAAAATCTTTGTTCATTTATTAAAGTATATTTGTATCTCCATGTAATACAGACACAATCTTTTTCTGTTAGATAAATCTTTAAAGAATTAAGTTGAACTACTTAACTATAGAATCATGTTTAGTACTTATTTAAGTATAATTTGTCTCATAAAATATTATTTAGTACTCTGCCATGATTATTTATGTATATTGAACTTCCTATAATTTATTTTTATTTTAATATAAAAATTGTTTTTAATTATGCGAAAATGTTTTGTTTTTCTTACAAAATACTAATAGTTTGTTTGACAATAATGTTACCAGAGAAAAATAAGTGTATAGTACAAATCTCATAGCAATAGGATAAGTAAGATTGCTTAGTATAAGTAAAATAGTTTGCCTAAGCGAACATTAAAACCTTGTATAATTGTAAATATTTGTGTAAAAATATATTTGTATTGATACATACTTTTTATAATAAATTTTGTAAGAATAGTATTTTCTTTATTACTTTATAATTTTAATCCTTTCAATTTAGTCACCTAGTTATGTACTGGTCCTGATACTTGGTGGGAGAAACTAGTCCGGCAAGTGGGCCCTATTGTGGTCCTTTTTGGCTAACCCCTGACAGGTATCTTGAGGTTGCCACCGAGTACTTACTAGAATGAGAATGTCAAGATCCATTTCCCAAGGCCGCCAATGAATGAAAATTAACCAACCCAGATGGGAATCAAACCCAGAACGTTCAGAACCGGATACTCTGGGACCCATGCCCCAATGTGCTTAGCCATCCCAACCTCCATCTTGTTATGTACATTTTTTGTACTGTTATGCACAACAGATTGGCAATAATATTATTATACATAATTAGGGATTACATAGTTCTGAACTCAAAAGAGTGCCATTATATATATTTTAGGTAGGGCAATCCAACTAGCCTGAAAGAGACTACTGCCAATTTTCAGGAATTAAAAAAAAAATACTATCTGTATAAAAATAATTAATTTTAGCATTTTAATAAACCACCTGGATTAGAGATATGGGGAATGAAATGAAACAAAGTCAAAAACCACTTAATACAAAACAACTTAATTAAGTAATAAATTTCATTTTTTGGAAAATATGGCATTATTGCCCAAGGGCACAGGCGGATCTGCGGGGAAGGCTTTTGGGCTCCTACTCCTACCTTCCCTCCCCCTCCCCAAAATGGGAACATTAACCATTTTTTATGAAAAAAACATATCTCCAAAAGTATTATTTTTCTTCTAATTACATTTCAAGAATCACTTAAACATCATTTCATATAGGTACTTAGTTTCTTTCTTTCTTTCAAATAATTATCGTGATACATACATTAAAAAAATCCTTCGGGTTGAAGCACCCTCCCAAAATTAAATCCTGGATCCATTAGAGCCCAAGGGTGTTTAATGTTTAAGACCAGCACAGATTCAAATCCTTGTTTTAGTTTCATTACTAGCTTATGCAAGAGTCTTATAAGTTTAAATACTTTAACAAAACCTGATCTATTAATGAAAATTATTTTATTTAATCATTAAATTAAAAAAAAAAACCTTTCCACTACAACTCATGAAAGGTGTTGTGCAAGGAGGTGATTTAAACGAGATCTCAATCTCTCTCTTAATTAATTAAGAGTACCCACTTTACAGAGGCTAGGTGTGCTCCAGGAGGGTTTATTCATGGCTGATGAAATAGAATAAATAAAATTACCTGCGATCAGTCAATTTCGGGATGTTGAGCTTTGGAAGTCAGTGCTAAATCGAAACTTGTCAAATCTATTACTAAACATCAGCTGATTGTTATTCAGTAAAATTACATTATAAATGTCTTGTCAGGCAGGAAGTCAACTTCTTTGAGATCTAAATAAATACTTTTCAAATAAATGTTTTACTTGAATCAAAACTCTTCTATTCCTATATTTATTAGACACAAAATCAAAACACTGTCTATCCCTACTTTGCCTTTTTAGGCTGTACGGAGATTTTCAAGGCCGGAGGGGGCGGTGGATTAATACTAGAGTTAAAAGCCCTATCGTTACCAGAACGCGAACTCTAATTATTTATCATCTTCTGTGTTCAGTTTATCAAACTATCTGGTTGCCGGGCAACGAGTATTTGCACCCGTTAGCCTGCTCGGCCACCCCGCCTCCCAAATCAAAACCGTCACCGTAGAATATGAATGCCCATTCTCTCCAAGGGGGAAATGGTGCATCACTCCCTTTCAAGAAATTTCATTCCTTCCTCATCTATACAATTATAAATATATCTATAGATTTTTATCTATCTATATATAGGTAGTGTAACAAAACTAGCTCTTTTAAACATATTTTCTGTGTGTCTAAGCTCAACAATATCATCAATTAGATGTTCCCTCTTGCAATAATGACACCAATAATATGTTTCATTCTTTATTGGGTACTTCTCAAAAATGAAACCAATATAATTTAATAATTATAATTTTTCTGCAATAAAAATGATCTTATTCTATTTAACGCCTGCCATCCAGGGTTGCCATTTGTATCATTATGTTGGCCATAGAGGTGCGGAGTAATACAATTTATACCTCTTTGGTTTGACGAACCTCACCGTTATCACATTCTCTTAAGTCACCATTATGTCTGACTCAAAGGTTTTAAACATCAATTAGCCATATGTCATGAAATTATGGTAATTTTTCTTGAAAACGTAACAAGTGGAAGTAGAATAAAAAAATATTTATTTAACGTAGTTCGGCCTGTTCCATGTTCTTTAGAATTTTTATTGTTCTCTGGCTTGAAATCTGCTACCCTCACCCTCAGATATTGAAACCCCACAAAAATATGGTTCACTCAAAGTTCATAGTCCCACAGAAATGAGCATTCCGCGCCATGTCTCCTTTTATTGCACTTCTGTGTATGTTCATAAAACCTAATAAACGTAAACTTAATGAACATCTTAACATTTAAGATAACAAAATGCACCACATAAGAGAAAGATTTAATTTTTGATTATCTATTATGAACTGAATATTAAATTAGCAATTTTCCATATGACTTATAGTTTTGTAAAATTGGTATTACTTTTTTATTTAGAATAGTGGTAATAGTATCTAATTAGAATGTTTTTATCAAATATATTATTAAAAAACACCAAGTTTATATATACAAGTAGGCGTTGCTATGTAGACCCATGCTGTAATTTGAATAAGGTAAGTAAATAACTAATTTTGCTTCCTCACTACCGAAGGCAGGGAAGCATTGTATTTGGGCGAGAGGTTAAAAAAGTCAGTCTGTAGTCAAATTGATGTGTAGGGCATATCACTTACTACCTTTCATCCAGTTTTCATGAAATTTTCTAGGATTATGCGGGTTTTTGTATAGATTGTCTCATATCAATTTTATAAAATTCCATCCACCACTTCCGCTTGCGCAGAAGTAAAAGCATTTTCACAGATATGCCAATATTTCAGAAACGGCTCATTCGATTTGGCTCAAAGTTAAAAGAAAAGTGGATTTTGGTAAAATAGTGATTCTATATCGATTTTGTTAAATACCGTCATCTACTTTCTCTTATATATGTGCAAACGCGTTTATCTTGATACGTCTAAATCTCTAAAACCGTTAGTTCGATTTGACCCAATTTTGGAGGGAAGTTATGGATTAGCTAACACGTAATCAAGTAAGTATCAATTTTATCAAATTCCATCCACTACTCTAAAAAAATAGACTTCCGCTTTGAATACGGCTTGTTCAATTTGATCCAAACTTAGAGGAAATGAGAAGAATAGTTCAGAAATTGTCTGGTATCAATTTCATTTAATTACAATCAGTAATTAAAATTAATATAAATAACTGTTTACAATATAATGGCTATGAAATGTGAAAGGCACTGATCATATGGAGTGAGATTTAGATTAAGACAATATTTTTATGGGGTTATAAAATTTTAGTTTTTATTTAAAAAGTTAATTTATACTATATTGTTTAGTCGATTCCAAACGTTACTGGTACGACACTTATTGCCGTTACTTAGATTTCGTATAATTTTCAGTAAATTTAAATTATTTTTTACTCTGAGTTTGGTCTCGATTCCCTGTTTAAATGTCAAAGTTGTGAAACTTCAAAGATATTTTTATATTCCAGCTTAATTAGTTTTGTTCTGACTGAAGAAAAGTATTGGTCTCGTTAACTCCGAACAAACAAGAAGTTGAATTTTTCCTATGGATGTTTTGTTCCATCCACTTTACGAGTGAAAACATACCTATTAAGTATATATTACTACTTTTAGTGCAAAAAGAAGGAAGTATATAAAAAGGTACTTGTCTAGTATCCAGTCAGTATGAAACCTCTCTTCTTATCTTATCTTACAACACATAAGTTCCCTTGTTATCTCGTGTAAGCTGCGAATTCTTCCATTTTGTCTTTTTAATCCATTTCTGTATGTTTGTTGAAATGGATGTTATTACATTGTGGGAATTGCCGTGTTCAGAAGAAGAGGCTATCGAATATTTTCAAAAAGCCTGGATAATGGCAAAGGTGTAATTGTGAGAAGAAGGTCATGAAATTAAGTTCGACAGGAAGACGGATCTATAAGGAAAGAAACATAGTTAGGGGGGTCGAAAATTTCGGTTTCAACGGCTTTAAAAATAATTTATGGGTGGAATACTTAATAAAATGAATTTATTAATTTATGAAATTAAAATTAATTTCAATTTCCGTAAACATGACATTTATTTTTGTCTATTTCATATATATGTTGTAAAATAAAAGTGTTTTGTTGTTGTTGTGGGAATTATTACATTTCTTTTAGTCTATTTCAATTTCAAATCAAAATGTTTTGTTATTATTACATTTGTATTTGTCTATTTCAATTTCCATAAATATCACATTTGTTTTTGTCTATTTCAATTTTCATAAATATGAATACGATGATAGGGATTATCAGTGCCTTATCAGAATTATCAGTGTTTAGATTATAAACATTGGCAACTAGCAGTCGATCCCGACCGGATTCCAGACAAGTATCTGTAAAATTTTTCAACTTTTATTCTACTGAATATGTTAAAGATGACATTTTGTTGCCTGAGACTGGTATAAGCAGTCTGCTACGATGGGAAATAGCAGATGGAAATAAAATAGGAAATTATACTAATAAATCATAAAAAAACAATTAGTTTTTTGCTCTTCTCCTTTAAAACACTCAACTTTTACATATGATCTTTTGCACTAACATTAGTGATATTCATGTTCAGTATGCACTGGAATTTTTATTTTTTTATCACGAATCATCAAGTAAACAATCTGCAAATACGGAACTATTTCGCATTTTAGTATTCGCTGACGAATGAAACTAGTGGAAATCAGACCTGTATGTGTTTTTTCAAAGTAATTATCGTTATATATATGAAAAAAAACATATCGGGCAGAAGCCCTCTCCCACCAAAAAAATAAATAAATAAAATAAATCCTGGATTGGCTAGTGGTTATATGTAATTATTTACTTACAGAAAGGGTTGGTTATTGGCGCATATGATGGATGTGACATTGGTGAACTGAAACTGACTAGGAATGGGGCTGCTTATGATGACAAGCTAGGAGGGAAGATTCAGCACTTGATAAAAGGGTAAGTTTGCGTATCATTAAAAATGGTAATTTTTAATCGATAACATTCGCGCTATTTTTTATAAAAATATTAATATTTAGAAAATAATGAATTGTCACGAAATATTTTTATAAGAAAACTTGAAGAAGTTTCTAAAATTATTAATTTATACTTTGTAAACATTTATGTTTGTATATATTAATAATGTAAACCAATATGTATACGTGTGTACAATAATGAGAAAATAATTAATATTGAAGGTCAGGCTTAAAAAAGGGTGAAGCTCGCGTTTTCACCAACATTAGTCCAGAATTTTATGCTATTTCTGTTGCGGGTCTTGGCAAAGAAGGTGTTGGATACAATGAAATGGAAGATTTGGATTTTAACAAAGAGAACATTCGAGTTGGCGCTGGGCTTGCGGCGAGGTACTTACAAGAAGAGGTATTACTACATATTATAAGTGATTATTGATTCCATTATTGTAGCAACGCAATTTTTTATTGATGTTTTTATGATTATTATTATAAATTAATTGGAGTTTGCTTTAAGTTTGGAAGTTTGTTTGGAAATTTTACCTCGAAAAATGTAAATCGAGATCTGTTGATATGAATGTAATTGTGTAGTAGCACTAGACAATACTACCCCAAATAAAACTTTATATTAATATTAATACTATTTAAAAAAATGTGTATTTTTTTGCTAGTGCACAGACAAATTATTTACGAAATGCACTTTGCAGGGAGCTGGAACCATTTTTTTGGAAGATTTTTCTTCTGCAGAAGCTTCCAGCGAAGCAGGTGTTTTGGCCACGTGGAAGTATGAGGACCTCAAAACCAAGGAATGTCAAGGATCTAGCATTAAAATAGAACAATTTTGCGGTGAAGATAAGTATTTTTATATGGTTGTTGTTTTTATTTTATAGAATTATTGATAAAATCCGAAAAAACAAAACTAATTAAAATCGTATTTACGTACGTAAGATGAGAAGCGTGGATATACCAGCTTAATGCTGCAGCGATAGAACATTTTTTTTTTTTGTTAGTAGGACACATCGCGAACCACCTTATTGATGAATACTATACCCTTGACAGACAAAATGAGGAAAAGTACTACAATCCTTTAAAAAAAACATGAGGACTATTGCGCACTAGCTGTTCTGTTACGTAATAGGCATCAGAGACCAAATTTCTACAAAATAAAACATCAACAAAAAAATTGGATTTATCCTTGGTTTGCTGTAAGGGGCTAAACTTGGTCACAAAGGTATAGAAGATAATGAAAAGGCTGATCAGTTAGCCATTGAAGACGCTGGACTAATTCTCCTAGGACCTGAACCATCAATTGGTATTTCCAGATGTCACCAGCGTAAGGGAGTTTCGAATAAAAGTTGGAGAATCACAGGAAAAGAGTGGAGAAAATATACTGGCCTAACAAAAACGGTTTAAGAAATTAATGAATAAACCCCAGTTCTAGAACCAGGTGGTTTCTTCAACTGAAAATAAGCTAACTTTGATACTTTTTAAAGGACTTACAGATCACTGCAGACTCTGAAGACTTTTAAAGATTTGTGGAGTGGTAACTGAAGCAACCTGTCACCGTTGCGTTCAGTCACCGAAAACCGCTCTTCATTATATATCAAATTGCCATTGATTTTCATCCCATAGGTACAGTTCGCTGGGCTAAGGTAGAATTCAGGATTACAAGACTTCTGTTCAATGGCCATCCCTTCTTACTTTCATTGCGAAGTCTATAAGATTTAAACTGAGTAATCATAGATTTATTAATTCGTTATTTGGGACAGGAAAAAAATAGCCTTGCTTGCCAGTTTGTCAATACCAATCCTGCAGAAATTGAGACCCTTGGTTAATTTGACAAATGTTCTACTAGATGAATCCACAAAAACTCCCCTCCAAAGTAAATTCACCTATTTAAATATTAACTCTCGATTCAAATCTTAAGTTATTATTACTGGTGGTTAAAAACAATCAGTTCGGTTTGTACGATAGACCCTACTGATTACTTATGTTCCCATTATCGGGACAGTGTTATGACGCAGTGGTCAATTAAATAAACAGTATGATATCCTTTGATATCATTACGAAAGAACCTTCTTCATTTAAAATAAACTCATTAACTTAATTTCATATCGTACATATGTAAATACATAAAAAAATACTGTTTTAACTACATTACTAAATTTACAAAAATAATTACATAAGGAGAGTTGGCAAAGAGGGGTTGTAAAAGCAGAAGCGCAGAACATCGCAAGAAAATTAGAAGAAACGCCTTCCAATATCATGAATCCGACCGCCTTCACCCAGGTTTGATAAAGGCTATTTCCTTATACATTTCCTTAGATGTCAATACTTTTTTTTTGGTATTAAAAACTATTTTTATTGTAATTAATTACAGGTAGCCATCGACGTGCTCTGCCCTTGCGGCATACAGATTGAAGTAAGGGACAGAGATTGGATCGAAAACAAGAAGATGTTTGCGTTTTTATCTGTTTCTAAAGGATCCTGTGAACATCCTCTATTTTTAGAAATCTCCTACTGCGGTACACAAGTTGATGACAAACCCGTCGTTTTTATAGGTTTTATTAAACATTTTAAATAGTTTAGCAGGCAACAATATCATTTAGATCAACACTTATAAGGCTGTTCTGTCGATTAGGTAAAGGAATAACATTCGACTCAGGTGGATTGTGTTTGAAACCCTGCGAAAATATGTCTCAGCACCGAGCGGATTTAGCAGGCGCCGCTGTAGTAGTCGGTTTGATAAGAGCCATAGCACAGCTTTCGTTACCTGTAAATGTAATGGGTACGTAGTCATTTAAATAAATTAACAGTTAATAATAATTTGATTTCTTAAAAATAAAATAATTGTTTTTGATGAACTAATTCTGGAATTACCTATAAACTCCGTCATAATGGGCTGCATTTAATTATCACATTTTTTCTCGAATTGTTATGTTATTCAATAGGAACAGAAATTAGAATTTAGGCTGCTCTTTATTAGTTGAAAAATTATTTAATTTTTTTAACAGGTCTCATTCCTTTATGCGAAAATATGCCAGGAGGAATGGCTATTAAACCAGGAGACGTTGTGACAGCTATGAATGGTCGTGCTATTAGAGTTCAAGATACAGACAACGAAGGAAGAGTAATTCTGGCTGATACACTTTGCTATGCAGCTGCCTTCCAACCTTGCCTTATTATCGATGTTGGCACATTCACTCGTAACTATAACTTTCATTGCACAGTTAAAATTTATATTATGCCTGTACATGGTCTATTTTAATACTACTTAATGACTTTGGATTGTTGGGTTTGTAAAACAACTGATTCCGGATTGTAGTAGCACGGGTATAGAAAGATATAAAGCTAAGGACATAAAATTTTAAATAACATTTTTGGTTTGTATTTCTAAATATGTGCGAGTTCAGATTGATCAGAATCATTTAAAATCTCATTTTCTAATAAAATTATACTTACAGTATTTTACAGTGTAGGTGTCGAAATATTGTTTTCTTGGAAGTTGCATATATTTGGAGATAACAGGTTATCACCACAGGTTGAAGAAATCTTGAATTTTACCCTTGCCTATGCTATACTTCCATTATATACACCGTAATATCTTTTTTTCATTTGCTTACTGCTAAGTATAGTTGAAACTCTCGAGACCTCATCCACTTTTTCTGCTCGCTTTTTTAGCATGCATGTCGTTCTAACGAAGTTATTGTTCATCCAATGATTTCTGCAGGTTTTTGCAATTTAATCCAACATGATACAGTATGATTTATAAGTACTAACGACAATTTTTTGCTGGCTTAATCGGTTTTAATTGCCAAAAAATAATGTTTAAAAAATCACTTGATTGAAAAGTACAATCCCCACCAATTATAGATATGAGGAGATGGAAGGAGTCAGTCCAATGTGGCCCTGCAAAATGTTCCAAACAGTTAGATAGGGCTCAGGGCTAGTAGCCTAAAAACATACCAAAAGAAGTTATGTGACGTCAAGGAACCAGATCCCTCCACTCCATAAAGAAAAAAAAAATCCTTTGTACAAAGCTGCTATGATAATGTTATTAATTTATTATTTCCAGCCGGAATCAGAAAAGCTGTTGGTGCAGGGTGTTCAGCTGTATTCTCCACTTCAGATGTTGTTTGGAGGGAATTAAGAAGGGCTGGTGCAGATACTGGGGATAGAGTCTGGAGGTTTCCTTTCTGGAAGTACTTCACCAAACAAGTTACTGGTATATGCATTCAGTTTTAATATTTCATTTTAAATATCATACTAAATACCATCATTTTAGATTTGAAAAAGGTATATTAACTTAATTATAACAAAATTAACTTTGTTTCTATCATGAAAATAATAAATAATGCATTAAAATCTGTATTTTCGCCTAAGTTGATGATAATATAGGAAGAAACAATATTATTACCTTTTAATAATATCTTGTTTTGTAATCACCTTACTAGCCTTCCTAGTTACCATCTATTTATGTTTCGGAATCAAACGGAAGCAGATCAGGTATATTTTAAACATGGTACCCATTATATATTGATCTTCTGAATAATTACTGCTGAACGGAGTAGTCTTCAAAGAAGGTTTTCTGAATTCCTTTGTTTTTACAGCATTTTTTTGTGGATAAAAATCTTCTGATAACGAAATATCTGAAGCTCCAATTTTATTCTTTCGTCAAATATAAAATTTTCTCAAAGTAATTAGTACCTCTTATGATTTACGATTTACACAAGAAAAATGAGTATTGTTATGAGTGTCGGCCAACTTTGGTGGAAGGATCAACAGAAATTGCCATGCCAAGCATTTGACCTATTTGAGGAGGATACCCATTAATGGGCTTTGTCATAACATAATATATCAGATATAAAAATATTTATGAATGGGTGATTTTGAGTATCTTGAAATATCAGATTCTACAGACATTGGAATCTTTCTAACTACAAGAAAGGATAGATTGATTATAGTTCAGTTTATGGCGCCGCTGGGTGTCACCAGAACATGAAGTACAGTTTGGGGTCTCATGTATTTTTTGGCCATTGCAGAAGGATTACCTTCACTACAACCCTAATTTTTGCATTATCTAGAGGCAAGATGAACATATGTTTATAATTTATAATTATTTTATATAATTATAAGTTAAAAAGACTTCTTATGAATTAATCAATTCGAGATTTGTTTATAAATAATAATTAATGGTTTCATTTGTTCATGCAGATTATGTTGGAGTGGATGTTAGCAATGTTGGTAAAGGAGGAGGAGGTGGCTCTTGTCTAGCAGCAGCCTTTCTAAAAGTAAATTCCTTTTATTTTTATTTTATTTTATTTTTGTAATTTTAAATGGTCATATTAGTGATTGTTCCTTTACAGGAGTTCATTCCTCCATTGGACTTTGCCCACATTGACATAACTGGTGTTGGGATGACCGCCACGGACGACTATCACCCTTATTTAAGAAAAGGTCTGATGAGCGGAAGGCCGACCAGAACCCTGATCCAATTCGTCTACCAAATGTCTTGCCCACACGATAAACCAGTGGACGGATAACAATAAAATGTTTCAAAAACCTATCATAAAATGTTAAAAACGAAAGTTTTTTAATTTTTTCGTCTCAGAAATTTATAGTAAAGGTTTTTCTTTTAATAACATCAATGTGACTGATAGATGTACTTTTGTAATGTGGTATAACATTATCTCAACAGAGATCACATTCAGCGAAATTTCCCGTCCTTCCGATTGGTAAAATAAGCTTATCAGTCTACTGAAGAAAATTAACAGCATACAGATGTAAGAGTGATGGATCTTTATCGTGTATCTTAATCGGAAAGTTTGTGATATAGAGCCTGAGGTTGTGATGAAAGTTTTTAAAATGCATACTTCTTAAGCTAATATTTAACCGCAGTTGTATTCACTTATTAGTTTCTAGTAAAGTAACAAGTCTCATCAACTCATAGTGCATTATAAAATAGTCCATGCTAAACATTAGAAGGAGTAAGTAGTACTGAATTTCGGGAATTGACATGCATTAGACGAAATTCGCATAAAATGCGACCAATAATGGTGTTTTTTTAATCTGTGGACTAATGGTAAATAACAATAAAATTATATGATAGAGATATATTTGAAATTACAGAAATTTTATTTGGATTTTGATAACTTGAAAATGATCAAAGTAGCTCGAAATGTTGTTGAAGCATTCAAAAGGCTAGTTCAATATCTACTTCACTTCAGATTTATATATATATTTAATTGTATTGCGAGGGGAGATTATATTCACATAATGCTTCAAAACATTTGTTTCTTGTACATTGAACTCCATCCTATTACATAATTTATAGCAATGTCCGTATGAATGTCATATCTTTTGGTAGGTTTAAATATTAAAACTTTTTTATATAAAGAAAATGTTTATTCTTAGAACTAAAAGTGATATAAATTAAATATATTTTTCTGGTAGCACTATCAATATTCGAAAGTATTTATTCCACACTCAATTCTCAAAAGAATTGCTACGGAAGGGGGGGGCGGAACTGAGATTTGTCGATTAATTTTCCTATTACGTTATTAATCATTGAGCTTATACTATATTACTGGAGCAAAAATAATTTGTTTGCAATTGTTGTCAAGCTGATCTGTGAGATTTTAAACTTAAAAAAATTATCTCAACAATTGTATTGGCTAAACTGATTATCAGCTGTTCTGGTTTTCTTCTATCTCTCCTGAAAGTTTTCAACTATTGGAGCTTATCTAATTTAAAAATGCCGACAAATTTCGCTCCTCCAGTAAATGTTTCTCCCTTGATCCGGGTGAGTAAATACTCAGTGTAATATTTGTTCGTTTTCTTAGCATTTGGAAATACCTACAATATAACATTTTCTGACAGTGGAGGTAGTACTGAATAAAATCTTAGAAGTTAAAGTAGAGCTATTATGCATGTTATATCGTTAAAAAATATATATATTGTATGATAATAAACAGCATGGACATTTACATTATTTCAATGGAGTGTTGCTAACATTTGTTCAAATTGTTGAAACTTTTTTAATAAGAAACATAATGTGTTATAGTTTGGCCGGTATTCCATGCTGATAGCTGGAATAAGCTATGGACTTTTCTGGCAAAGTAGGTACACGAAGAAAGAATTGGGATTGAAGGATTTCAAGGCTCGTGAAAAGGCAGCCAGAGATGAAAGACTTGCCAAAGAAAAAGCTATACAGAGTGCAGGTAGGAAGTTATATATAATTGAAGAATACATAATGATAAAATAATAATTTTCTTCCCCTAATCACGTATTAAAATTGAATGATATCTGTGGTCCTTGATATATAGAGACGATGGCCTTCCATGTTCTACAAGAAATTCTAATTACTTATGGAACTGATTTTAGCATAAACTTTTTAAAGCTAAATTTTGCTGTCTAATTCGAATGAATAATTAGTGATTAGCCTCATATTAAATAAGTGCTTCTAGTTTTTTTTTTTCTTCCAGCTTCCATGATATTCTTATTTGATGATAATCAGTACTTATGATGAAATTCTTAGGTTTCAGTAGTGTTATACATTTTGTTAGTATTACTAACAAAATTATGTAATTTCTACTAAGAGGTTTGTATTAGATCACAAGAGTTCTGCACGGATTACGCATAGTTCACAATCACTTCGGTCACACTTGTTCATAGAGTGCAGAATGCGTTCGGGTCTATCCAAAAGAGAATGAAGGCGACCTTTAGTCAATTACTGTTTACTTCCCAGCCATTTAAGTACTTCTATACCCTTAACCATGTTCAGTTATATAGCATGAGCCGACACATTCGAAATTTAGGCTACACATCATGAAAGAAACCTGAATCAAATTTATACATATATTATAATAGATCTGCGAAAAATAAATAGTAATAGATAAAAACCTTTAATTATTACATCTATAAATGCTATTTCACAATATTATTTTTCTTATTAATGATTTTCATTTTACGTTATCTCTGAATTATCAGATATTCTTCGTCAGTTGTTTCCTCAATACGTTAATTCCTTTCTTGAAAATAAACAGTTATTTTTATACTGTTTATATTTTATAATTCTAAAAAAGGCTTGCTAAAATAAATTATAAATTCAATTATTCCAACTTCTATTGAAAAACTCAAATAACAAATAAAAAGATAATAGATAACTTCTGATTATTTATTATCCAAATGATAAAAAAATATTTTATAAAACAGTTATAAAAAATAATATACAACAGTATATGCGTATTTACAACCATTACATGTAAGCACGTGTCAATAAAAAAGTTGTTTCTAAACGTTTTTTTTTTTACAGGCCTTGAAGAAACGACTCAAACATTATTTTAGATATACATTTTTTTTTTCTTTCACAGTAATAACTGTTATAATAAAAATTAATAATTAAAAAAAGAGTAAATACACAAATTGTTAATATGGAAGTTCCATGAAGGAAATAATTTTTTTTTTTTTCTAAAATGCATGAAAAGGGTTTGTGTGATGGGGCCATAGCTGACGTCATAAAAGACGACAACATTCGGCTGTTTCGGGATTCCATGAACAAGCGTGATCGAAGTGATTGTGAACCAGGCTTAATCCGTGCAGAACTCTTTTGAACCAATACCAAAAATTTGTTTTATTATGAATTATATTTCATTGAAATTCTTCTGGAGGTAGCTTATGATTAGGTTTAGTAAGGTACTACTTCAAAGGTGTCAATAGTGGGTTGCTCAAAGTCACATTGATCACACTGTACATTGAATGATAAAAGCTGCTGAGTGTTTGGAAACTATATGAAGTTGACTCACCTCCACTTATAAGTTAACTATCCACAATTCAAAGACACAAAATTGTTGTTCTAATCACTTTTATTTATAATTAATGTTAGTAATAGTGTGCACTAACTTAAATAAAATGTTTTGGTTATATTACATACTTAATATCATATTAAATGTAATTTTTATGTCCCTGGTAGATCATAATCGCCATATTCAGCATGTTTTACTTTCACTTACTTATAATAAAATATGTAGTCAGGGAAAGTATTGAGATCATAAAAAAGTTTAAATACGTGTTTCAATGACCTCTGAGTCCTAGTAACTTAGTCTCAAAAAATGGTCTTTATGTGTTTATGAAAGTCTATCTCCAAAAAAAAAATTATAAAACTTAAATCTGTATTTAAAGGAGATATGTGCTGCAGCAAATTTTTCGTCACAATCCACTAACCAGAAAGAGTACTTAATATCATCAATTTTAAAATATTTTCAAACATTACTCTAGCAATTCTGATGTAAAATTAAGGTCTTTAATATTAGGCAGGTGTTATCCTCGCTGAAATAATCAGATGGAGCTAAATGCCGATTTTTCAAAATTTTGTCTTCTAAAGTACTTTTAATATTGTTGATTAGCAATAATTAAAAGTCTCTCATTGTTATGTTTCACACTATGGGCAAATAAATATGAACTGTGAAAGAATTTGATAACTAATTAAAAAAGAAAATGGTAGTAATATTTTAACAATAAAAAAAAATTGTACCATTACACCCCATGAATGGTCTTGGGTTCAGTACTAGTTTGGGAAAGTACTGTTTCCTCATCAACGGTTGTGCAAGAAGGTGATTTGGCTGAGATCACGCTCAACCACCAGGTTTCCCCCTTAATTATTTAAATAAGGATACCCACTTTATAGAGGGTGGGTGTGCCTCTGGGCCGATCCAAGACTGATGAAAGAGAATAAATAATTAAAACAAGTTGTATTTTAAAATAATAACAAGAAATTCACTAAGTTTTGGGAAAATTCTTTCTTATTACATTATCCAGGATATCTAAAGTAGCTTTTCCTACCAATTTTATATTTAGAATTCAGAATTTATCACATATGCTGGGATGCCCTAGTGAAATGTTTTTTCTGTAACTGCCAAAAGTCAAATCAACCTCTAAAGCCATAGTTTTGAAATACTTTCATGAATTTTCCAATAAAAACCGAAGGTGTTTCAGAAGTTGAGAGATTTGAGATGCTACTTAAAACTGCTAAATTGAAAATAATACTAAAAAAGTAAAAAAAATTGTAATTTTATTGATGCAGTAGGTATTGTTGGGTAGAAATAAAATTTGTTGTTAAGTGTTTCATTTTCAAGACATACGTACAAAATTGAAATCCGAAAGAGTTGAGAAAATTAAAATATTTCTATACTAAATAATAAACTTTTAATTTGTTATGTAATTTTAAACATAAATTTGTAGTTATAATTTATGGTAATTTTTTTCTGAAATATGTGACACATCTTTTCATAAACTTTCAGGATTTATGTTCCTACATATTTCAGATGATTTGTAAAGATATAATTATCTTTCACCCTTCTGAGCTACTAGTCGCGTTCGCCAATATTCAGGCAGACAAAGATAGGATCAGTGTCTGAGCAAGTCTGAATAATTTAAAGCTAAACACGATGAAAACTCAGGCCATTATTATAGGTTCCAGTTCTATTCTTAAATCCATCTCCTTCCTTCCTCCTTTAGTCATCAACGATCATCCTATCACATTCAGCTCCTCCGTTAAAAACCTAGGAATCACCATTGATGAAAACCTCTCCTGGAAACCTCATATCGCCCTCATCTCCTGTAAGTCAATAGGTACCCTTAAGCGATTTCATCGCTCTCGACACCTACTCCCACAACCCATCCGCAAGCTCTTTGAATCCTCTCTTATTTTCCTCCATTTTGACTACGGCTGTGTGGTGTACGGAGGCATCCCGATGGTACTCGAGGATAGATTGAAGCGACTCATGAATTCCTTCTTAAGATTTGTCTTCGATACTTCAAGGCGGTCTCATGTGTCCCACCTTTATGATGAGTTAAAGTGGCTCTTCCTTTCTTTCCGCAGACAATATTTCCTTGGATCTTTCCTATTCCAAACAATCAACACCCGACACCCTTCCTACATCTACAGTCTCGTACGGTTTTAACCTGTGGTCCATTCCCAGAAAACAAGATCCTGTGTTTCCGACCTTTATATCCCTTCCCATAGAACTAAGACATTTGAATATTCCTTTATTGCCTGATCCACTGCCTTCTGAAATTCCTTGCCATCTGATATCCGCCATGCCTCTCCTTGTCCTCATTTAAATATCATCTCTACCAATTCCTTTTCACATCCAAAAATGATGTACAATGAAATGAATATTGTGAAACACATTTGGCTGAGGTGAACTGTTGTTGAAATTGTTTGTTTTAATTTTAAAAATCAATCCGTGCTTATATTATTTTATTTCTACCTGTTTTATGTTTTTCTTTTCATTTAAATAATGTTTGTTTCTTTTTTCAAAATGGTGTTATTTTTATTTGTTTTAATATACTTTCACTGAAGATACTGTATATATTCTTTAATGTTGATTAGTGTAATTTTTGGCCAGATTTGGTTTATACTTTTTTGTTCATAATTGTTATTCATAAGGGACCTCGTCCCAGAATAAAGTTTATTTTCTGTTTATCTATCTATATTTGCATGTGTGATAAATATTCAGGACGCAGTCATTATAAAGTTTTTATTAGTGCCGACGTTTCAGCCCATACAGGTCATCATCGGGAGCCTGATAAATATTCAATCACCCATGATATGTAGATCGGTCGACTAACTTCCTTTAATAGCACATATATTTTATTTTTATTTTCCATGAAAATCTGAAGAATTGATAATGGAAAGTTTTCATATTAAATTATTCCTTAAAATGAATAATGAAAAAGTGATTGAAAGAATATCTCAGGCAATTATGAATGATAATAATAAAATATTAAATCAAACATTAATGTTGAATAATGTGGAAGCCCAAAATGTCACCGTTTTTGAGAGGCAGACAGCCATCCCGCTCTGCTTACTCTTTGTGAAAAATACTTTACTTTAAATTTTTCTTGTGGATGCTAAAAATTAACCTTGTATTAATATACAATTTTCAGTATATTGAACAAATAAATTAAACATTAATTTATTTTTTAAACAGAAGGTGTCGTTCTTCCTTTAATACTTCATAAGATTGATAATAAACAGTATAACAAATTTGTCGATATTCTTATATAAAGCTTCCCAGACAGACACAAGCTGAATGATTTTGCAATTAGGAAATAGTGGATTTTTCTCTCTTTTAACCATTTGCTTTTATTTACTTTTGAATTCACTTTTTTTTGTTTTCATATTGTAGACTATAGGTAATTAAATTTTAATCTTTGTATAATATCTCCATCTACTATTGTTGTTTTAATAAAACATTAACTATTCTAGATAAAAATAATTATTTATTTATTTTTAAATTGATACATTTCAAAAGAAAATAGTGGAAATAACAAAATAATCAAATTTAATTCAAATTTGTAATTAAGTAATGTTCAGTTTTGTTACTAGGAATAGTAAACATTTTTTCAAGTTAAAGGAAATAATATAAACTAGTTTCGTGAAGCAACCAAGAAGTCCTTAAGTCGTTATTTGTAAGATACAATGAATAATAATTGGCAAGTTCCTAACCTTAGCAGTGTGTCCATCGATGACTTAATTATGTCTGGTTGAGATGTATCGCCCTATGTGTAGAAGCTGGGTGGGGAACCTCCATTAGACGTTAGATGACAACTAAGATAACAACAAATTGATCTTATCTATTCCCAAATTGACAATATTTAACCCAACAGCAAATTACCTCATCAAAGAAAGCATCCTTCATAGTCCGAGTTTCATTATCAATGTTTGACCTAAATCTTTAAATACCTACCATTCATGAAACTATAGTATCTCCAAACATCATTTTTCTCTTTCACCCATCTCTAATCTGTAGTAATTATATTGCTGAAAGGTTTTTCAATTTACAACAGTTTAAATGTTAATCATCCATCAAATAAAACGCTGGTTAGCTGTACAGATTCACTGTTCGTCCTACGTAGCCTCAGAAATTCATTCTCGACTAACCCTATTATATGAAATAATTTACTTTTATTAATGACAGCCAACAGAAGCAATAACTGATGGCATTCCATATTGGCGGCTCCCTTTATCTCCCTCATTAAAAAAAAAAATTAAAATTGGAACAAAGGTGGTCAACTGTTTCCGGAAATAAACTGAGAGAAATTAAAAGTGATGTTTCTCCATGATAATCTTCATTCCAAAATAGGAGACGAAAGGTGGTCGTTATGGCAAGGTTGTGTATAGGCCACATACATCTGACTCACGACACCTGATGGCTTGCGAATCTCTCCAACTGAATGGCCAGACCTACGGATGTCCACTAATTGTGAAACACTTATTAACAGAATGCAGAGCAAATGAATACAAAAGATCACTCTTTTGATATCCCACACAATATTTATTCCGCTTTGCTGGACAATGTGCAGATGACTGACAAACATTTTGACTTTATAATACGGACAAAGATGTACTCCAAAATGTAAAATTTTAACCATTGGCACAAGGCGATAATGACTTTAGTGGTTCACTCCTTTATAAAAGTTTTAAAAAAAAGATGTATCTGATATCATTGATGAATTCAGCACTCGGTTAGGGAATTTAACACTTCATACTAATCATGTTTATCAACAGCTCTATTTTTGGAAGGTCACTTCAGGGTTAGACACTGGGCATGAAAAACAATACAATTATCATAAAAATAAATAAACATTACTATAGGAATATAAATCACAACAAATACAAATTTATAAAACATGTAAAGAATGTTCTCCAGTAGATGATAAAATGTTATGCGTAAGTGGCAGAATCCATTGCTCAACCATTCCAGCTACAGCTTCTTGGTAAAATTGGCAATTAAAATTTAAAATTTTCAGGATTTTTTTTTCTGCTTTTAATTTTAATACATGTCGTAAATTCCCGAGAAAATTCAGAAAAAAAATTTATAAAGAAAAGAAAAATGTTATGTGGCCTAACTAGCTAAGTAACTAAATTGCCTAAAAATAATAATAAATGTCATCGGAGTCTAACCAGTATTAGCGATGATACAGCTTATTCTGTTTTCTACAAGTTTTAATTAATTACTTTCCTACCACTATTAGTTAAGGAAAGGAAATTTCTATCTGGTCAAATTTCCGATTTGAGATATTCAACCGATTTTTACGTTTTAAAGTCTCCTGAGTCCGAAAAAAACATTTTCCAAAAACCAAAACAAAACATATCTTTACACCATATCGTCCGATTTCAACGATTTTGGTTTATTATTTTCAATAATGAACCATTGTATTCGACCAAAAAAATCAAAAACTTAACCCTCTTTCAAAATTTAAGGTTTTACGTTTCAGGATACATAAAATACGAAAAACGAATAAAATATTTTTTGTCCGCCAGCATTTTCTCCGAATATTAGATTTTCGAATAAATAAAGAAGTATACACATATTTGTTGATATTGTATATTATTATTTACAAGTTTGCGAAATTTCCTTTAAACAAATTTTTTAAATCGGACAATTTGGAGCAAAGATATGGTCTCTAGATATTTTTTGTATGTTCTACTGCAAAGGTTTATATACTTTTTTTTTTTTTTTTTTTTTTAAGGTGTTACTGAAGTAATGCTATTTTTTTTTAGAAAATTACTATTGATGAAAAAAAATGTTTAGGCCAATAATTAGAATCACCTTTTATTTATTTTTCTTTATTATTAGGAAGGTAATGTTACTTTAGTTTTATATTTTTTATTCAGAAAATTTCGTATACATTTAAATGACCAAAAACTTCGTACTTTTTAAGTCATTATGAAATCTAATTTTATTATGAGATTATTAGGTTATTATTTTATTGCTGTTTATTATTTGTATTTATTGTGCATAGTATGAATGAGCTACTCTTTATCACTATTACCATTGTCCTTGAACGTGACAGATTGTAATATATCTCAATAAAGAAATTTTCCTAATTTTACCACCCGTCGTAACTTTTTTTCCAGCTTCTTTTAAGAGAAATATGATATATGTACGTATATTTAAAGGGTTTCGAGGATAGGAATTTAGCCACGTTTCATTGAAATCGGTACATCGATTTAGGCGCTACTATACGACACAGGTCATTCGGCCGCCACCTTGAAAGGAAAGTAGTTATCGGTGAAGAATGTTGCATACATAAATTTAAAAAAGCATCGAGAAGATTTTAGCCGGGTTTCATTAAAATCAGCACAATACCGTTACTGGCTAGCAATACAGGCTTTTCGACCGCCATCTTGAAAGAAAAGGTAATGCCGAGTTCCATAAATGATCCACGGCTGCGCTTTGATATTGATACAAAATCTGAAAACAATCGTCCAACCTTGGGGAAAAAGTCACGTACGGGCGTAAAGTCACGCGATTTTTTTTTTTCCATTTTCGGATTCTACGTGTCTTAAAACGTAAAATCTCAAATTTTGAGGGGATGCTATCTTTTTTTTTTCTCCGTCAGTTACATAGGCTGTATATTGAAAATAATAAACCAAAAACATCCGACTAGTTTTAGTTTATTTTTATTTCTTATTTTACGAATTTTTTTTTAAGCTCATTTTAATGATGTTTCGCTTTCCTATTCACATTGCTTTAGTTCTTCAAAAAAAATCCTATTTTATCATTTCTCTGACAGGTTTTCAAGAAAATTACTACAATTCAAATTATTATTTGAAAATAATTAAAATTATTATTTATGAAAATATTTTAAAGTTGTACGAATTTGTCTAAATTCGATAGATAAGTCGTATGAGTGGTCTCACCAGATTTTTTTTTTGTTTTTATGTCTTTTGGAGTTAAAGATGAGGAAATCCATTAAAATTTTATAGAACTATTTTATTTTATTGAATGAAGCACATATGTTAATTTGGGTTGCTATCTCAAGTTAAGGCGGGTTTATTTATATATTTTTTATGTTGATCTACATTGTTTTAATTGACTTTAAGTTTAATCTGTAAAGTTAAATTATTTTTTAATATTTCCATCCACATTAAATGTATATTAATATATAATAATTTTATTATTATTATTTTATAGAAAAAGTATTCGAGGAAAGTGAAAGATACGGAAAATTTACTAAAACCATTGTAGTAGAAAGGAGGAGAGAAGTAATGGCAAGCCAGAGAAGGAGTATGATTAATGATATAATGAAGAGAATACGGCCTAAATAAGAAAGCCGAAAAATGCGAAAGAAAAAAACAAAAAAAAACGCGCTGTGCTTCGACGGCCATTATCGCGAGAAAAAAAAAATTATAAATAGTTTGTTTTGTTTTTTATTTTTTTTAAACATCAGGTTGTTGATTTATTTAATCTCTAGACGTTGCCATGGATATTTTATGTTATGTTTCAAAATTTTAGTTGTTTTTTTTTTAGTTTTTTATTTATTCTTGTCTGATACATTTTTCATGATGTCATCTGACTTGCTAGAACGTTAGTATCCCCCTCTTTTAAAAAATCAGTCTACCTAATCACCTTGCATTCCAGCTAAGTTTTTGTTGTAGATCCAGGTAATAGCTTAAAAGAATCTAATTTACCTGCTACCTCTGTAAATGGTGAGCCAAAAGAAAGTCAATTAAAGCAATCAAGTGTTTTAACCTGTGGAAGTGGTGATATCGAGAAAGAAAATAATAATACTAATCTCCATAATAAGTTTATTTTTGAAGCCATTCGGAAAACTGCACCTAAATCGAAAATGGGATTTACTAATAGAACTTCACTTTACTCATCAAGTGAATACCTGTATGAAATCATTAGAGGGACATCTGATACTTCATCCATGCATATTGGTCATGAATTTGATAATTTTATGTTTATGTTTGGCATTATTTGAGGTTTAAATATTACAGTAAGTGAGTTTTGTTCTCTCGTTTAAGAAAAAAGATTTTTTTTTTTTTCTTAGATTCAAACCACGGGTGGGGCATCAATAATGAACATTTAGTCATTTCATTGCTCATAAACAACTTTTTTTTTTTTGTATAGCCTGTTTTTACAAGTATTACACCTGTAGGCCTCCCCAATTAAGAGGGTAATGGTCTAACTTCCCGTGGGGACCAGCCGTTTTGGGAAGTAGGGCCAGGATTCGATCATATGATCTTTGCTTTACTCATATAGCGCACTAACCACTCTGCTATACCAGACCCTCATAGACAACTAATGAACATTAAATAATAATGTTTCAGATAAATGATACCTTAAATAAATGTAAAAATAAGTTAGTAGATTGAGCAAATAACATCTTTTTTATTTTATAAAGTCCTGTTATTGTTTTGTTTTGATCAAAACTATAACAAGTATATTAATTAAAATAATTATATAAGAGAAAAAAATTGGTTACTTTCGAATAGATTAGAAATAATAATGATGAAGGTCTTTGTGGAACGATTTGGGCTTATGGTAAATTTGAGGCGTCTGAAATTGGCAAGTTAGGCTAAAGGTCATATTATGGAAGACGTTACATTATTTTAATAATCTGACCAAATAATTTTATCAATTGATCAACATAAATGTTTATGATTTTAATATATCATGTTAACATAAGAATTTACTGAGGAACCGTTATTCTGAGATTAAAACTGGTGTTTATTGAGCTTCAAGGTTTCTATCTAATTCTAATTTTTATATATAGAATATACATAAAAATGCTACATTATATTTCTTTTTTCATATTTTTTAGCAGAATTATTTTTGACAAAAATCCTGAAAGTTTGAATTTAAAAGTAAAATTTACATAACTGTTATTTTTCTTTCTATTTATTATGGCAATGAAACATTTCTGGATAACTTAATGGAGGGAAAACCTTAAGGTTTTTGGAAATAAATTTTAGAAAAAAATATTTATCTTGAAGAAATATGGTTTGTTTGAATAATGTTGATGGCTACATGTTGGCAAATTGTGTGGATTATAAATATTAAGTATAATTCCAGCAGTCGGATTATCGATCAAATGGGCTTGTAAAGTCAGATAGATAAGAAGTGAATCAATGGAAATATAACTAATAAATTATTTGTTGACTTAAAAAAAAAAAAAAGTTTGTATTAATTTTAGATACATTACGATATTTGGGTTTTGGTGGAGTTCAGTGGGGTAAGGTCTGTCTGTTGATATAAATTATTGTTGTCATCCGCTTCGAATTTCTGGGTTTATTAAGCCTTATGATTATTAGAAGTTTATTTGATTTTTATTTTGTTTAATTTATTAATGCTCTGATCTGTCATATTGATCTATAATGGTTGCCAACGTATCAACCAAAGCATTTGAATCATCGTCAGTTAAAAGTTGAGAACCAGAATAAACACATTTAGAATGAAAATCTTGACTGTATATCATCCTTGATTTTCAAAACAGTCAATAAAAATCCATCTCAAAATTATTACATTACTTTTATGTCATGTTTTTTATTTATGTGTTTGAATAAACATTTGGTTGGTATAGTTTATTTCCAACTTTTCATGTGTGTAGTTTTAAAGTTGATGTTGAATTGTCATTTTACATAAGATATGAAAATTAATTTTTACTCATCAGTGTGCTGAAGTATATTGTTATAAACATTGATTTATTTTATTTTATGTATTCATTTTTTTAAACCTTTTTATTTTAATTGATAATTAAAATTTTTTTTGTTGCAGCCGAAATTGCTGAACTCGAAAAAATGGCTGGTACAAGATAGACTTTGTGTGCTTTAAGCTGATATAGTGTTCATGTGTATGATTAATTAAACTTTTATTTTATTTTTTTTGTTTATGTGTTGTTGTTTTTTCAACCTCTATAATAAATGTTTGATTTTATAATTATTATTTTTTTATGAAATCATTAATGTGGTGCAGTTATATTATTGAAAATTATTTGTTATGATAAATAAAGTTTATGGAAAGTATTTTTTTTTAAAATATCATCCAAATTTTATGGACATGTAATATTTAAATATATTCAAAATTTTGGGAATTTAAAAAAAAAATTAATGTTTTATTTTATTTACAATTATTAGGAGGGCTGGGCGTAGAAGGGAGCTATTTGCAGAGTATGGCAAAATCTATTATTTTAGACTCATTAGGAATCATGCATCATCATCTATATTAATTATGGTAAATTCGTTACAAGCTGTACGGACATCTGCGAGAAGGGAGAAAATTGTAATGAATAAATAAATTATAACATTCAGTACTTTGGATGATGGGGCCGCAAAACTTTATCTTGTTTGTTCTCTCTCTCGTTTCAGGTTATCTATTGGGACTGATCGGTATGCTGGGTCATATAGGAACTCAGCATAGTTGAGCAGCTGGACAGTGTTATTGTACTTCTCTCTCTTCTATTGTGAAATGCGTAGATTATTTAATTTGTAGCAGTTATATTCTCTTTAATATATATATATATATATATATATATATTTTTTTTTTTTTTGCATATATAGAAATCAAATGTAATGCATTTTAAAGAAAGATTAAGAAATAAAAATAATATATCATCAATAATTCAGTACATTTCTCTTGAAAACTAACTAATTACTTGATTTGTTAAATAAAAGTTTAATTAATCTTAAGTCAACTGATATTTATATTGCCTACATATCACACAGCCAACTCCACATTTTTTTTTTTTTTTTTTGTAAAAAAAAATACTGATTGTACCCTGTCATTTTATCTGACAAATTTTAAATATTTATATTTTAAAGCAGCGAACTTTGTTTATAAAACAAATCTTATTTTAGTAATTAATTTAATACAAAGCATCTCACTACAAAATATTGAAATAAAAGATTTGTAATTGTTTATTGAAATTATTTATACTGAAAATATACTTTGAGGAAACAGAATTTCACATCACATAATTCTGTTTACAGAATTGGCAGAATATCTCGGTTTAATCATTGAATAACCTTAACTTAATTCTTACAGATTTTTTAAACAAGAAAGGTTTTCAGTTTTGAGTTCTATGCAGTCCAGATGAAAGATGTTACAAATAATCAGGAGTAATCCATGATTTTATGAAAACTAGAACTTAGCACAGTTAAGTTTTTTTATTTGAGTTTTAACAAAACAAATTTTACATCCATTTGAAGGAAATTTTGTTTAGTTGACTGACCATAAAGGAGTTTGTAATTACTTAAGTTAAATATTTTTTACTTTCACATACCCATATATAGGAGTGCCATATACAGCGTTTTATAGCACAAGTTGCAACATCAAAAATTTTGAGGGGCAAAGTTTGTCAGGATTTTAAATTTTTGAGGGGCCACTTTTTCGAAATGAAAAGTTACAAACCAGAGGACAGGGGGAACCATGGAACAGACTGCTGCAAATATAATTGTATATGAAATAACAATAATTTATACTTAAGCTTACACTGTGTTTAAGAAAACAGCAATAAATGTGCCATCGGCCTGGCGGGTGGATAGGAGATGGGCATCTGTGTGTTAAAAGTAATTTTATTAATATTACTTACAAATCGATCATATGTTATATCAATTATATAAATTAAAAAAAAGATATATACATAAAACATATGTTTTAGATATAACCCTTTTTTTCCATGAAGTTGTGTTGTTAGTTTAATAAAGATTGATTTTGCTTAGTTTAAAAAAAGGCTAGTGGTTTATTCAATGTTTTACACTTAATAAAAAAACCCATAAACCATTAATAAAATCAACACTGTGGCCATGTAAGAAATATATGACTCTGTCAATTGACAGAAAGACTAACTCCAAGTTCAACATTTTTGAGTAGTCATTTAGTGATATTTCTAGTTGGAAAATTTATAATATCTTTACAGAGAGAAAGTTTATTCCATAGTTGGTGAATGTAGTATCGAAATATAGAAGTGTGCACTAACTGATACAGTATTTAATTTTGGAGATCTTCAGACCAAAAGGTTTTTTTTCTTTATGTATATTATGATAATTACTTTGGGAGAAAAAGAAAGTAACTAACTACCTTTATGAAATGGTGTATAATTGATTCTTGAAGTCTAAATAACGTAATCCACGGACATTAATAATTTTTTTTAAATATTTTTTTCATAAAACATGGTTATATTTTACCTTTTGGGGAAGAAGACGCTTTAGCCCGAAACCAACCCCCACTATGGAACTATAAATAAAGATATAAATTTTCTCCGTAGAAATATCACCAAAATTAATAATAAAAAATGTTAAAATTTGAGTTAGTCATTCTGTCAACTTAAAGGCTCATATTAT